TCTCTGTAAAAAATCAATAAAATGTATTTTTTTAAAGGAAGAGAAAATAAAACAAATCTAAGTAAACATTGGTGGGGGAAAAAAACTAACAACAGTCCCACTAATTGGCCAGGTGACCTCAACATGTAAGGGACACAGATGAAAGAGAAAACTGATGTATGTTAAGGCTCTTATTTTGTTGGCTAGGGTATGGAGTTAAGAGAAAAAGATATATTTGCTAGTTACATGTTTTTGCAATACAAAATCAAACAATATAACAGGTACAACTGTATGAAAGAAACAGAATTACTCCGTAAATTATATGTAGCACTACATTTCTATTACTGTCAGTTAAGTGGGCCCATCAGAAAATGGTCTCTCTCTACTTAGAATCTTTTTTTTTTTCTACTTAGAATCTTTAATATCAATTTGAAAAGGGACTATTGGAAGTATTTACTCAATAGTTATTTGGGGGCCAAACTCTGTTTTAAGGATAGTTGCTTTCCTCTTCTTCATCTCCCCAGAATCAAGAGACACAGAAGAGTGTTCCGTAGACAAGTGAAAACACAAAGCACAATATACAAAAACTGCTGGCAACCCACGACACTGCAGAGCAGTGATTTTCAACTGGTGTGCTGCAAGAATTTTTAAAACATGCAATACCTGACCAGTTAGTCAGTGGCACTGAGCTAAATAGAAAATGAATTCCTATCTACTGTTAGCACATTACCTGTTCTTTTAAAAAATATAGTCTATTTTATTGTTTTATAGAGAGGAAGGGAGAAGGATAGAAAGCTAGAAACATCCACCAGCTGCCTCCTGCACACTTCCCACTGGGGATGTGCCCACAACCAATGTATGTGCCCTTGATGGGAATTGAACCTGGGACCTGTTTCAGTCCGCAGGCTGACGCTCTATCCACTGAGCCAAACCGGTTTCGGCAACACACTGCCTGTTCTTGCAGTCCAAATCATTCCTAACTCACACAATGGGGGCTATTTGGCTTTGAGTTTTAAAAAATAGCACCAGCTTTTACTCAGGCAGTTCTTTTATCATTCTCAAGTCAGTGCCCAGCCCCACTGTGAAACCTAACCTGGTGTTTGGCTGAGGTCAGTCTTGAACTGGCAAAGTCTGGAAATGGGCTGTGACAACTACATACCAGAGACAGATGAATTTAGTGTTCAGTGCCACTCTTCATCAATATAGGTTTCTGCATGTTCTGTTGTCAAAGAGAAAAGGCTTTGACATAAATAATGACCTATAATATCAGAGTAATTGAATGCAACATCCATAAAGAGGAAATAACGGACTGATATGGAAATCCAGCATGACATAACTGTTACTTTGCTGCCAAATATAAGGCAATGTAGTCTAAATTTGCTGCTGTGAGAGAAATGGTAATACAATGATTCCAGGAAATGATACAAGCTTTCCCTGATATCAGACTTCAAGGTAAAGATTTATCCACATGTATGTTTATATCCTGGTAGTCTTCAAAGTCAAATAGTTTGGATTTGCCTTGATTGGTTTGGCTCAGTGGATACAGCATTGGCCTGAGGACTGAGGGGTCCCAGGTTCGATTCCAGTCAAGGGCATGTACCTTGGTTGCCGGCACATCCCCAGTGGGGGGTGTACAAGAGGCAGCTGATCGATGTTTCTCTCTCATCAGTGTTTCTAACTCTCTATCTCTTTCCCTTCCTCTCTGTAAAAAAATCAATAAAACATGTTTAAAAAAACAAAACAAACAAAACACACACACACACACAAAAAACCCCAAATAGTTTGGATTTAATATAGTCTAGGTCTCAATACAACGAATACATTTCCAGTTTTGGTTTGGCAAAAAGATAAAACTCTGAAAATTTGGAAAATATATATGTAAATGAAATTACTGAGGAATTAACTACCTCATAGTTTATGGCAATCTTATTTCAGACCCTACCTATCCTTCAAGAGTATCTAATTCAACAATCTTTTGGTAACATTCACAGGAAAGAATTTTGGCGATGTTCAAAAATAGAAAATAAAAATTATAATTCACATGTTCTCGAGCGTTGTTTTCTCTCTCAACTTTGCTCTTAACGTAGCATTGGGAGTTTCCTTCCCTTTTTGGCTCACTGTATCATCTTATTGAAAAATCTCTAGAAATGATGGGCTGGAATTTTGAAGTAAAAATGAATTCTATACAAATCTCTCCACTGGTTTATAGGAGAGGGGGCCACCAGTCTCAAGGGTCCTTGCATGGCCTTGCTGTGTGTGCCTCTCTAGGACAGACACGCTGACATTTTCTTTCCTTCCTGCTCACTTTTTCTACCAGCACTGCCTATTTATATATATATATATATATATATATATATATATATATATATATATATTGATTTTTTTACAAAGAGGAAGGGAAACAGAGAGTTAGAAACACTAATGAGAGAGAAACATGGATCATCTGCCTCTTGCACATCTCCTACTGGGGTGTGCCCACAACCAAGGTACATGCCCTTGACTGGAAATGAACCTGGTACCCTTCAGTCCGCAGGCTGATGCTCTATCCACTGAGCCACACCGGTTAGGGTAATACTGCCTATTTCTTTTTGCCTTGTGGCTATCCTCTCAGCTGGAAGGTGGGCCATCACCTCTTTCGTGAACTTTCATGTACACTACCTGCCTGACTTGCAATAATCCAAGCATACCAAGTCTCAGTCCTACTCCTGTACTTTCAACCTACTTTCCTTTTATTTATGTTAATCCTCACCCAGTGATATTCTTTCCCCATTGATTTTTAGAGAGGATGGGAGGGAGAGGAGAGAGAGAAACAACCACGTGAGAGAGACGTGAATTGGTTGCCCCCTCCCCTCGAGGTGCCCCTACTGGGGTTGGGGAAGGTGCCCCCCTCAGTGGGAGGACCTGCGCTCTAACCACTGCGCGCATGGTCAGGGCCCTATTTCCCTTTAGAACATCCTTTTAAATAACGAGTTTTCAATTTTTAAAGGTATCTATTCAAAAACTCACAGAAATTTCAATAAAATCTAATCTTATGGGTGTGACTCTTTTCTAAAACCCCATTAATTTTTCCTTTTATTTGCAAGGTCGTTGTATTCTCTGTAGATACTAGTAGAACCCTACTGCCAAACAGAAAGTGGTTAACATGTGCAATAAGGCAGAGTAAAAGTCCTAACAATATCACACAGAATCTGAGCGTTAGAAAAGACCTGAAGTTACAGGTTCGATTCCAATCAAGGGCACATGCCCGGGGCTGTGGGCTCCATCCCCCGTGTGGAGCATGCAGGAGGCGGCTGATCCATGATTTTCTCTCATCATGGATGTTTCTCTCTCTCCCTCTCCCTCCCTCTCTCTGACATCAATAAAAATATATTTTAAAAAAAGATCTCAAGGACCATGTTGTACAACCACCTCTCTTTTGTGTGTATGTGACCACCAGGGGTTTGAACTTAATACTTTTCCAAATAGGGTTCGGGGGAAAAACTTCAATAAAACAAATCAAAACTACAAAAGAAATGGTAATTGGAGCTAATTTGTTTTAAAAATGTGTTTGCTCGCTGAGGTCGCCTGCGTGGGGACGGGGAAGTCTGGCAGCGAACTGTGTGTAAATGTGTTCGCTCGCCACAGAGGAGGGGCCGGCTGTTCCCCAGGTCGCAGCTGCGGAAGCCCCGGAATGGCCTCCGGAGGGACCGCCCGGGCGAAGGGGGCGAGGGTTTAACCGCAGGGAGCGGCGCGTTAGACCGGCATCTGCGAAAGGCTGTTGGAAACGGGTCGCAGCAACGGGCGCTTTGTAACCGAATTTCCGCACGTCGCTGGGAATATTCTAGAACCCCGAATCCAGACCTCACAATGAGACCCATTAAGTCGACTGTGGGGCTGGCAGAGTATTTTTTAAAGCTCCCCCTCCCCGCCCCTTAGTCTCAGGTGCAGGCGAGGTGGAGAAGCCGTTTTGAAGCAGGAAGCCAGAGGAAAGGTGGGTTTGGAGGGGGAGTGGCGGGCGTGGGGGGCGCAGAGGAGCCGAACGCCGCCGGGCAGGGCGGCTCCCGCAGGGCAGGGCCAGGAGCGGGGAGGCCAGCGGGGCGGGCTGAGGGGCTGTTTTTTGTGCTAAAACTGCCTGGATTTGGGGGGGTCGTAATAAGACCAGCAGCCATTCAACGCCATTAGAGTGACATTATCCCGCCAGCGGCCTGGCTTCTCCCTCCAATCATATTTTCTCGCACCTTTTCCCACAGTCATAAAAAAAAAAAAATGACGGCAACGCTTTCTATCCCACGGAAGGCGCATGAGCGGACCGTGGGAGGCGCAAAGGCCTGAGAAATCACCAGCCGGGGTCACTCCCTGGCGACTCCAGAAGCACAACCCACGAAAACTGAGGAGGAGCGGGTGGCGGCCGCACCGGCGAACCGCCCGGGAGCGCGGAGAGTTACCTCAGGCACACCGCAGCCTTTTAAAGCCTGAGGGCCGCCAGGGCGAGGGCGGGGCAACCGCTGACGTTCACGGTGACGCGCAGGCTCCGCCCACGCAGCCGCTTCCGGTGGCGCGCGGCCGCGCTTCCGCTTTTCCCGCCCGCGCCTCGGCCCCGCCTATTCCCCTAACCCCGCCTCCCTGCGCCCCGCCTCCGCCCCGCCGCGAGCGTCCTGGCGCCCAACCGCCTGGAGAAAGGCCAGGAACTGTCGGAAGTCCCCCTGCAGGTTCCCCTTCCGGTCTGCTATCGACTTCCGCTTTGGGCCGTCAATATGGTTGCTGCGGCTGCCTGGCGGAGCGGACTCTGATCCGTGGCGGAGGCGCAGCTTCTCTGCGGCAGCCGTCCCGCTTCCCCGCCCTCCCCCCGCCCCTCGCTGCTGTCCCTGGGGCAGGCGGGCTCCTTGCTTCATGGGGGCGGGCCTCCGCGCCCGGCGCTCGGCTTCCTGTTCAGAGGCGCTCGGGCGGTAGGCGGCTGACTCTGCCCGCGCCCACCTCGGCGCGGCGACCGAGCCCCCCGGGAGGCTCCAGGGCCGCTGCGCCTCGCCCGACCCCGTGCCGCCATGCCCCCCGTGCAGCTGGAGAACCACCAGCTGGTCCCGCCCGGAGGCGGCGGCGGAGGCAGCAGCGGCCCCGCGTCAGCGCCGGCGCCTCCTCCCCCTGGAGCCGCCGTGGCGGCGGCTGCTGCGGCCGCGGCGAGCCCCGGCTACCGGCTGAGCACCCTCATCGAGTTTCTGCTGCACCGGGCCTACTCGGAGCTCCTGGTGCTGACGGACCTGTAAGTGCCGCGATCCCATGCCCGCTCCGCAGTTCCCCTTCCCGCCCAAGCGGCGGAGGGGCCAGCACCGCTGTCCTCCCCTAGAGGCTGCTGTTTGCTCCCGTGCCGGCTGCTCGGAGCGCTGAGCTCCCGGGCGGAGGGAGGGCAGAGGCTCGGCGTTTGGGGTCTTTCTGGAGAAGCAGCCACCGAGACTTGTTAATTATGCATGTTGCTAGGCTCGCACTGAGAACCTCACCTTGGGGATTCTTGCTCAGGTTGCCAGCAGAACTGGATTGATTTCTGAGCTGGAAGCTTTTTAGCCCGGAGCCCAACGTTAGGGTTGAGGAATCCATAATCGAGCTTAAAAAAAAAAAATCTCAAAAGATGCGAGATCCGTTTTACAGCATCTTGACGGTGCATTGGAGATGTGGGCTGTAATTGCTTCTGACGAAGCTGGAGCTCGGGAGCTGGAGTGTGTATCCAATAATACCATGATTTGGACCCCAGGTTTTTTTCTAGAACATTTGGAACCGTAACGCAGGTAGTGTAAGTAAAAGGTATTTTGTAACTGGTGTGCTGTTACAGTTTCTTGGTGGATGAAGAGAATTTATAAATCAAGTTACCCATGAATTGCCTGGGGACAAGATTAGGATGTAATGCCTTCGGAAGAGGGTCAGAGCACGAGAATGATTTTCAGTGTGCTGAGAAAAGGCGCTATAAAATTTGGACTGGACTATTTTGCATGTTTTATTCCAGGTACAGGAAAAGTTGAGAATTACAAGTCTTTAATCTATATTAGTTTGTATCTTTTATCTGTTGCAGAACAGATCAGTGTTTTCGATGGAAATAATTAGTATATAGATATTAGGCTATAAATTGTCATAGTAACTTGTTAAAATATTTGTTTGCATATGACTAAAAGAATTTGAAAAGGTTCCTCTTATTCCTGTAAAACATCATTCTCACATTCTGTACTTTATTGAATGGGACAGAACAAAATCTACTCCTTTCTAATAAGAAACGTAAGATGTCATGATTAGGGATTATTGTAGTATTATACTTCTTTGTACCATTTATTGTTGGATTTCATAAAAATCCAAGCGTGTCCATGAGAAAATTTCATGTATGTGAAGGTTATGTGTCCTATGTTTAGCTCTGGCGAAGTGTTAAAAACTGCTGCCCTGAGTGGTTGTGTAATTTGTTTTCCCATAGGGATTTGTAGAAATTCTTTGAATTATTGTGGTGTTCTTGCTATTTTAGGACTCAGTTATGAAGAGAGGAACATCTGTTTATTGCTGTAGAATAAGTATACCCTTTTAGTCCCATACACTTTACATGACTATGATTGCCGTACTTAGATCTCTAGCATAGATCTCCAGACTCTCTACCCAGATGCCTACATGTAAATACTCACAGGCATTTAAGTGTGCCAATCCAGAACCAGACTGCTTCCACTCAATCTTTCCAAACCCTTCCTGTCTCACTGAATAATATCTCGATTCCTCCTATTGTTGCTTCGGCCAAAAATACCGGGATAATTCCTGGCTCCTCTTTTTTCTAGCCCCACAGTACAGTTCAGCAGCAAGCCTGTCATCTTGGACTTCAGAATCTGACCGCTTGTCAGTATTTCCATCCAGTGCTAGTCCTTCGCCCACGTTACTTCAGTAGTCTGCTAACTGGTATCTTCACTGCTGCCTTTTCCCTCTTCAGGTTTTTCCTCCAAAAAATAGCCAGGATGATCCTTTGAGACCTGCTCACAACCCTCTCGTGGTTCCCCACCTCACTCAGAGTAAACGTTTTTATAGTCACCTATTTATAGGGTGACCATAAAATTGATGGTTGAAATCAGGACGCTTTTGGGCATGAAAGATGGTGCTGTTGGTAGTCATGTCAAAGCAGCGGCATAAACTGGAACTATCTTGGGTAAACCAGGAATGTGGTCACCTTGGCTTTAAGGCCCTCTATCGGGGTGGGGGACCCTTTTTGCTGCCAAGGACCATTTGGATATTTATAACATCATTTGCAGGCCGTACAAAATTGTCAACTTAAACATTAGCCTGCTATATTTGGTCAGATATTTAATTAACTCGCCTCTAATGTCTTGGCAGGGCCAGACCAAATGATTTCGTGGGCCTGATACAGCCCTCCGGCCAGGTGTTCCCCACATTCATTCATTAATGTGCTAAATCGATGAGTAATCAGGTAACCCCCTGCATTGACCTGTGCCTGCCCTCCCTCCCTCCCTCCCTCCCTCCCTCCCTCCTTCCCCTCTAACTTCACCTGCCGCGCTGCTCCCAGCAATCTGTGAGGTTTGCCTTCTCACCTCCTTCAGGTCTTGGTTCAGACTTTCTCTGACTGTCCTGGAAAGCTCTGTCTCCTCACTCTGTCCTCTGCTCACTGCTTTGTTTGGCTTCTCCCCGCCCTGGAAGCTCAGTGAAGATGGATTTTGATTTGGTTGCTCCTTTCCCCAGGGCCTAGGACAGTGCCTGACACAGTAGGGGATTACCTGATTATTCACTGATTTAACACATTAGTGAGTGGATTTTTAGAATGGTCATTGTAGATCATGGGGAATTTGATGGGAAGATTCGTTGTTGCTTTTGATAAACTTTTTTCTCTTTTGATTTGTGGTTACCAAAATTAGTTTAGGGCTGTGGACGGCAAACTCATTAGTCAACAGAGCCAAATATCAACAGTACAACGATTGACATTTCTTTTGAGAGCCAAATTTTTTAAACTTAAACTACATAGGTAGGTACATTGTTATTAACTTAATTAGGGTACTCCTCAGCTGGCCTTTGCTAAAAACTCAGGGGGAAAAAAGGCCGCATGTGGCTCGAGAGCCGCATTTTGCCGACCAGTGGTTTAGGGACTTACCTTGGAAGTTCCTAAATCATGTATTTTTCCTTGTTCCAGGTAGGAACTGTCAGGGATAATGTGTTAATAATGTAAGACCAGTGTTCTTACAAGAGTCTTATTTCTGCCACGGTCGATGCTTGTCTGTGAACTGTGGAATGAAAAAGCAGCCTTAGCAATTAAGGTGATTTGGTTTAGGCCCCAGATTTCTGTTTTTTCCTTTGCTTGTCCACTTCCTCCTCCTGCCACACTCTCCCACCCCCACTCCCCAATACACACGCCCCCATCTTAGAGTTTATACTCTGCCTTGACTCTTTCTATTTTTTTTTAAACCTCTTTAAAATCAGAAAGTGCTAGCATTTCAGTCTTGTAAACTTAACCCACATTTAGGTTTAAGTAAGTTTCTGTGACTTAGCATTTCCAAAAGAGTAGCGTTTTAAGGCTTTGGCCCCAAATGGTGGCTTTGTTATCTGTAAAGGAATTTAAAATAGGTTAGGAGGAATTTGGGGGGCGGGGATGTAGACAGCAAAGCCTGTCCTTTGTCCCTGACATGACACCTCCTGTGACATGGGATGATCCTTTCAGGGACAGGTGGAGAGCTGGAGCGATGACTGCCTCTCTGGCCCCCGTCGTTCTCAGTCTCTCCTTCCCTGAGGACAGGGGCCTGCTCTCGAGCTTCCACATGGAGAGGAACTCAGCAGCTGCTTTTACTCCCGTCTTCCAACAAAGCTGGACTTTCTGCTTCACCCTCCGGTCTGCCTGTTCTCCCAGCTCCTGCCTGGTCTCCTTCAGTGCTGGGCTATCTCAGCTCCCATCCCACGGTCTGCCGTAGGGACTGTAGGTGTCTGTCAGCCAGAGCTCCTTCTAATAGTTTTCCCTCGTGGTGGGCTTCGTCTGCCTCACCTGTGGCATGTGGGTGGGAGAAGAGGGTCTAAGGTCTTGGTGGATATTCTTCAAGAACGATGCACTGTTGGGGGAGGCTTCAGAGTTCAGGCCATTGCGTCCGGGACCCTGGGTGACTCAGGAGGCAGGCAGCTCAGGGCCTTCCTCAAAGCATCTGTGGGTGGAGAGTGCTACCGGCCAGGGGAAATGGGGAAATGGTGACGGTGGTTGCTGGCTGTCAGTCCTGGAGGACTAACTAGCAAACAAAGAAATTAGGAAGACCCAAAACCTTCCTGGAGCTGTTTGAAAGTAACATAAATAATTGACATCTGCTCACACGCAGCATCACAATTACTGCGAAGCCCTGGCGGACACTGGCTCTTTTGTGTGCTCAGCTGCCAGCTTTGCCCACCACAACAAAACCGGGAGGCGCGCTGCTTGGAGGCGAGCTTCCCCTGGATATGGGGGGGCTGGCACCTAAGTAGTGCTCTGCATCGGGGGCCACTTTGGCCTCAAAATGACGCTTTCTCTGACTCTCTCTGCTGTAAGTGCTAATGTAAGGCTGGGGCTTCTGACCGGGTGAGGTTCATGAATACTTTGGAGGCGTTTTGAATGGAGAGAAATGCTCCTTTGTTAGCTTCTCCCTGATAGCCGGATTGCTGGAAACTTATAAAAGAGTTGGTAGCCACCCAGGCCTGTAGTGGCCGTTTCTAGTTTTTCTGAAACCTAAGGTGGTTAATAGGGCCAAAGTAAAAACTGTTATCATGTTTTAACGAAGGTGTGCATATATTTAGTCATTTTCTTTTTTCTTCTTCTCAGACTGCCAAGGAAATCTGATGTGGAAAGGTGAGTATGAAAAAAACCTTCAATCTGTGTCTGTGTTGCTGTATCTATGAGTGTGTGTGTGTGTGTGTATGTGTGAGAGAGTGAGAGTGCAGATGGACATGATGGCAGTGCTGCAGACCGGAAACCTAGGCCCAGAGAGCCGGGGTGATTTTTTCTCATCATTTCTTTGTAGTTTCTTCATCCCCGACAATTTTTGGTGTGAGACCAGCTGTGGATCTTAGGTTTTAAAAACCTTTTCTAAGTCACTGGCCAGGTCAAGTCCCTGAGAAGTTGTAAAACAAAACGGAAGAAGCTAAGGAATAGACTGGCTTGAAAAGTTGGCTGCTAGTTTGCCATTTGCTACAATGATGCAATTAGATATCTTTAGAGACTTGACATTTGCCTACTATTGTTGCTGTTTTAGAGTTGAGAGGATTTTGATTCAGTTGCAGTTTGAGGCTTAAGATACAACTAAACACTTATTATGTTTCCATAGCGAAGGAGCAAGATAAATTACGTTTCAAAGAAATCTTGTGATGGAGATAGCATGGCTACAGCATAGGCTGTTTGGCTCTTTTTTTTTGGCACCTCTTAAGCTCCGTAGTTTAAGCTTTTTAAATGCCAAGCCACCAGAGAGGATTTTAGCCTTTAGTGATGATTACACTCTCCCCCTACCCTCAACTGACCTTTCTGATAGAATGAGACATAGATCAGAAAGAGGTGAAAGGAAAAGTGAAGCGTGCCTGCGTTGCGGTTTGGCTGGCCAGTTCTACAGGAGGGACGTGGAAATGAAAGTCAGGATGTGTGCTGTCCACTCGCGGGTGGGCAGGGCTCTGGAGAACCTCTCCCTGAGACAGGTGGTGAGAAAGCACGGTGTAAAGACCGCGGTACGGTGGGCCGAAGCGGGAAGCCAGGTCACTGACGTACAAATAGGCTTGTCCTGGAGAGGAGCCCTTAGAGGGACAGTCAGTGCCGAGCCCCTGTGCTGAGGTGCTGCCAGATCATGATGCACCTGTAACATTCTGCCGTGTCCCTCTTGCCTGTGAGGCTTGCTCATTTTCTCTTTTAGGATCCTTCACTGGCAGAAGTCACAACTGTATTTGCCCCCTTGATTCTCCTTATACTTCCAGTAATATTGCTGGCTGATCCTTAAGAAAGCCTGTCAGACCCTGGCCTGTTTGGCTCAGTGGATAGAGCGTCAGCCTGTGGACTGAAGGGTCCTGGGTTTGATTCTGGTCAGGGGCATGTACCTTGGTTGCAGATACATCCCGAAGGGAGTGTGCAGGAGGCAGCTGATCCATATTTCTCTTCCATCGATGTTTCTAGCTCTCTATCCCTCTCCCTTTCACTCTGTAAAACATCAATAAAATATATTAGAAAAGAAAAGAAAAAAAAGAAAGCCTGTCAGGTTATTGGTGGGCTATGTGTGCCTTTTAAAAAAAAACATTTTTATTGATTTCAGAGGGAAAGGGGGAGTGAGATAGAGAAACATCGATGATGAGAGACAATCATGGATCAGCCTCCTGCACACCCCCTCACTGGGATCAAGCCCGCAACCTGGGCCTGTGCCCTGACTGGGAATTGAACCGTGATCCCCTGGTTCATAGGGCAGCGCTCAAACACTGAGCCGCACTGTTCGGGCATATGTGTGCTCTCGATAGGAGTCAACTCTATAGTCTTCAGTCAGGATTATACTTCAGCAAACATTTTATTCTGGTGCCTTGTACCATAGTATTGCTGTTGGCGAGGTGCAGAGATGTGGATCGGATCTGCAGGTCATTGAACAGCTGTACTAAGATTGACAGGTCAGAATCCAATTGCAGAGAGCCTGGTGTGCTGTTTGGGTCCTGTCTTTGGTCCTGGCCCACCAAACCATGAAAGGTCTGATTATCAGTTCTGTAGATGACGTGAAGTTGAGAGGTCCAGCTAATACATCGATTGACAACATAAAGCCTTTAATTAAGCTTTAAAGACTATAAGGAGATGAATAAGCATTGAGAGAAAAAGGATTATAGTGGGCGTAGAATAGAAATAGTATGGGCAGACATAGCTTTTACTTTTAGTACTCAACTTACTTTCTTTGCTTGGCTAATTGAATAAGTTTATCATTGAAATTCGTTTGGTACAGTTGCATGGCTAAATTCTTTTATTATTTAATTTTAAGTTGTGCCCTTGCTTTTGTAGGAATAATACAGTTGTAAGCTCTATTTCAATTCTTTCCTCTTACCAAAAGGTTACTAATGCATAACTCATAATTTCAATTATAAAATTCCTAATTCCTAATTTGGTCCCCTCTGTGACCCAGTTAATGTCTATATAGTAACTTTATATCTATGAGTTTACTATATTTTAGCAAACAACTTTTATTGCAATATAAAATTAATTTTTAAATGTGATTTATTGCTAAAACATTCTTTTGGATTTATGACAGATAATAAGGCATATGCAGGTGGTATATAAAACATAATAATTTATATGTATTTAGATAAATATTTTAAGTGATTCATTTTGTTGTAATGGTTTTAAACAAAGATTGAGACATACTTTAGCTCAGATTAAATAAACTGTGAAGTTCTCGTTTAAATATGCTGATTTATTAAGAATTGTTTTTTTTTTATAGGAAAATAGAAATAGTACAATTTGCTAGCCGGACACGTCAGCTCTTTGTTCGATTACTAGCTTTAGTAAAATGGGCCAATAATGCTGGCAAAGTGGAAAAATGTGCGGTGAGTTAAACTTTTTATTTTATTTTATATAAAAAAAACTTTGTGGAATGTTAATTTACAATAGACAAGAGATTCTAATTTTAGCTTTAACTGACATACACTGATTTGAGAAACATTACTTATGTGAAAAATATTTCTGATGATAATGTATAATATATTTTTGTAGAAGCTTAGTATTTGCTTATGGACAGAAAGAAAACTAGGCAATATCTGGAGACATCATTAACCAGAAGATATTAATTAAGAGGCTTTGACTAAATGGGGGAGTGGTTAACTTATATTTGTATGGTTCCTTAGTTTGCAAAGTACTCCCTTATGTTTTGCCTGTTGATTCTTGACGCCTGTGAGCATGACAGTCAGTAGTCCTTATTTTACAAACGAGGAAGCAGTAAGTTTCCTGGAAGTTAAGTGGCTCCTTCAAGGTCACAGAGCTGATAACAGCATATATCTGTTTGTTTATTCATCTACTCCTCCAACATTTACTGAGCACAGCTTAAGATGTTCAGTGAAGAGTTAGGTGTTACTAAAGTATATCAAATCGAAGTGTTCAGTTGTTCAAAATGGTGTTGAATCCCAAGTTATGGGTATTTAAGTTACCTGTTTGTTACTACTGAGATGTGCTTCAATAACATATCAAACAAAAACCAAAACTCTTAGTTTTGATATCAAGCCATATTGCATTCATCTTTCACTGATTCATAGTATAGTGTTGTTATTTATTTTGAATTGGCTATTCAAATAAGTCATTCTGATAAAGTCTCATTGAATTTATGTTGTTTCCATTTTGTGGATGTAGATACAGATGTGTTTATGTCAAAGATAAAGTTCATCAGCTAGAGAATTAGAGGATTGTTTGTGTTTTGACACTTCTGTTCTCAGCCTAATGATTATTCAGTGTCTTTAGAGGTGCTTGAGATTAATAGATCATGATCTTTAGCCATGCCAGACATATTACATGTATAGCTGAGTATATAAATATACAGTTTAGTCTGATTAATGTTTTATCTAAGAAAAAGAGAAATATCTCCTATTCTATTAGAGCTATTTAAAAAAACAAAAACCAGCTTTATTGAAATGTAGTTTACATACCATACCATCCACCCATTTAAAGTGCACAATTCGTTGGCTTTTAGTATATTCACAGGAACATGCAACCACCACCGCGGTCAATTTTAGAACATTTTCATCACTTACCCTTTAGCTGTCATCCCCAACTACCTGCCCGTAGCCCTCAGCAAGCAATAATCTGCTATCTCTATAGATTTGCCTCTCCTGAACACTTCATATAATTGAAATAATCATATGTGAGCTTTTGTGACTGTCCTTTACCAAGCATAATGTTTTCAGGGTTCACTCATATTATAGCATGTAGTGGCACTTCATTTTTCCTGTAGCTGAATTGTATGGTTTTTGTTTATCCACTCACCAGTTAATGGCCACTTAGGTTATTTCCAGTTTCTGGCTATTACGAATAATGTTGCTATAAACATTCACGTACAGGTCTGTGTGGACATGTGTTTTCATTTCCCTCGGGTGTATAGCTAGGAGTGGACTTACTAGGTCATATAGTAACTGTTAAATTATTTGAGGAACTGCCAACTGTTTCTAAAACGCTTGTCCATTTGACATTCCTGCCAGCACGGTGGGAGGGTTCCTCTCTCCCTGCGGACACTTGTTCTTGTGTGGCATTCTGATGCCAGCTGTCCTAGTAGGTGGCACGGAGCGTCTCATTGTGGGCTTTGTTTGCATTTCTATGATGACTAATGGTTTTGAACATGTGCTCTTGGCTATTTGTATATTTTTCTTAGAGAAATATCTGTTTGGTGCTCAGTTAAATTTTGGATTTAGGAAGATTATTAGCCATATTAGCAGCTGGTATGTGAGAACTTAAAAGAAAAAAATCGAACATGCTGATCATTAGGGACCTACATGGAGTCACTAATAAGTTATTCAGAACTGAAGTTTTCATCTTTCTGCATTTGATTTCCAAGACAAAGGAGTGTAGCTGGAGTTAGTATATTTTGAATTGAGTATGGTGGTTTAGAGTGTTTCACTAATTACCCACGTTTAGGGTAGAGGGACTTGGGCTGGATAAACTGTGGCACCCCATTAGGGTTGATGCATGTCTTCCTGGAGGCAGGTCTTTGCTGTTCTTTGGCCTTGGCTTTGGCCTGATAAGCATTTTTAGTGTCCTGAGTAAAGGGAGAATTGGGACCTAAATCTGAGTAAAAACCAGTAAAGAAGTTGAGAGAAGGCAAGATTAAAAATGGTTCTAAATATATTAAAATCAGACACATTCCAGTCCTGCATTACGTTGGGATGGGAAAGCAGATCTTGCTTGTTAGAGATTCATAAAGATTCATGAACAAAAGATTAAGGCCTTCTAGTTAACTCCGAGCTTGCTGTGTGCTAGCGATGGCTTCTAATAAAGTGTTGGTGGCATTAATAGAAATCCATTTTACTAGTGTGGGGGCGCAAAAAAATATTCCTCCCATCTTTCTAAGTTCTTCTGATGAGGTGAATAATCTAATTAACATGAGACATTAATAGGAGAAAATGTCCAAATTTATTAATCTGTACTTACGGAGGTTACATAAGACTGAGACTGGAGGACGCTCTGGGCAGGGAGGTTTATATGCTATTTTGGAAAGGAGAGGGAGGCAGGGGCCTGGTGTTTCAGAGAGAAAAAGCAGGCAATTTACAGGTAGCTGGGAAAGAGCAAGCGTGGTAAACATTCTTGCTGGGCCACCCAGAAACAATGGGGCGCAGAGGGGAGCCCAACCAACAGGCTTTGCCGGATTCCTCCCTGTCTGCCACATCTCATTTCCATTATGATGCTAAGGTGATGCTCCCTTTCCTTAAACAGGCTTTTCCATCCAAATTCCTTTAGACAGGCGAGGTTCTTTCCTTGTTCCTTAAAAATAACCAGCTTAAAATATCCCCCAAAGTATATGTTGGAATGGCAAAACTTCCACTAGTCTCAGAAGGCAGCACTTGCGCTGCTGGGCTTTGCTGGTCTAATAGAGTTGGAAGAAACATTTGTAGATAGAGTCTCTGATTGACTGACTTTTTTTGAGCAAGTGTCTTAACCTAAGCCTCAGTTTTCTTATCTCTAAGCTGATGGTGATTGTATGGTTTTGTCTGTTTCCTGGACTTGTGACAATCAGATAATAAAATGTGTGGAAATGCTGAGAAAGTGTAGGGCATGATGTGGTTGGTATACATTCTGGATGCTGTATTTAAGTTGGCCACTGCCACACAAGCATCTGCGGGTAGTGGACAAGGATGGGAGTCGGGAATTTGGAGATGTGAAGACTAATGGAAGTGACGTGGAATGGTCAGCTTGAAAATAGGTTGGGCGTCCCCGATTTGAAGGGCATGAGAGACTAAGTATTGTTCCAGAATAGAAGTAGGAGATAGAAGTTTCAAGGAAATAGATTTCAGCTTTGTGACGAGCCTAGAGCCCCATGCCCTTGTGAAATGCAGCATTGGGCATAAAGTTGACCTAGATCTCATACTGAGCTATGTTTATTGCGTGTTTTATATGTTCTTGGCACTGCTCCAAAGGTTTCATATGCATTAACTCTTTTTGTTGTTGTGTTACTCCTCACCGGAGGATATTTTTCCATTGATCTTTAGAGAGTGGAAGGGAAGGGGAGAGACAGAGAGAGAAACATTGATGTGAGAGAGACCCATTGATTGGTTGCCCCCCTGCACTTGCCATGAACAGGGCTGGGGATAAAGCCTGAGGTGCGTGCCCTTGACTGGAACTGAACCCGGGACTGTTCAGCCTGTGGGCGATACTCTACTGAGCCAAACCAACTAGGGCTGCATTAACTCTTAATCCTCAGAACAGCCTCATGAGGTTGGAAATCATCTCCATTTCACAGTTGAAAAAACTGAGGTGCAGAGGGATTGAGTAACTTCCCCAAGGTTATAGGGTCAGTTAAGTTACAGAGTCAGCATTGAGACCAAGGTCGCCTGGGTCCAGGAGTCCACACTTCAATGCCAACTGTTAAAAATTTTAACTGAAAGTCTTTTTGAAAGAAATGGTTTGCCATTTATTAGGCTATTGCTAGCAAACAAACAAACAAACAAACAAGACTGTCTGGGGCAGGGAGTCTAAACCACCAGCAACATGACTAGGTAGGAAAGACAGACATGTCTGTCCTGGAGTTTTGCCAGTGGTTGCATACAGCAAGTTGGGGGTGGGGAAGATGTAAGCCATTCTGAAAGGCTGTCCATTCTCTGTAGACAAAGGGGTGGGGAAGGTGTAGCTGGGGCTAATTCCATGACTCTGTAAAGCTCATGTGTCAACAAGAGGAGGAGGTTCTTGGGGTTCAAGGTGCCTGGCTCTTCTCTCTTTTTAGATAATCTCTGAAACAGCCAGCTGGCAGTTTATCTAATAATCCCAACCTACACTAAGGAGTCTGCGCAGCCTTTAGTCGGTTTTGCGCTGCACCTAACTGGTTGGCCCCCTTTTCTGTTCCTTCCTTCCACCCTCTGGCCTTCTGGAAGTTAATTTAGGACATCTCAGCATTTTTCTCCTTGTTGCCAACCAACTCCAGAAGTCTGTAAGAGTAGTAAAAAGGATTTTATTCTGTTTATGTTTTCTAATGTGATAGTGTGCATCTGGAATGTTAAGGATGAAGAAACGAATTAAATTAATAGAAGGTTCTTGCTTTCAAAAAGATATTGGGGGAAATTACTTTTTAATAATTTCTTTTTTTTATCCTCACCTAAGGATATATTTTGTTTTGTTTTTAATTGATTTGAGAGAGAGAGGAAGGGAAGAGAGAGAGATACATCGATGGGAGAGAACCATCAGTCAGCTGCCTCCCACAGAATCCCGCGGCGCACCACCTTTTGGTGCCCTGGACGACGCTCTAACCAAGTGAGCCACACCAGCCAGGGCTGGAAATGTTTAGAAGAAATATTTTATAACAGCAAATACCTGTATTAATCCCCCTTGAAGTTTACTCTGAAAGGAATCAATGATATTTGAAGTGAAAAGTTGCTGGTTTCCAAGGAAGCGTAATTAATGCATTTACCCTTTGCTTTAAAGATGATCTCGAGCTTTTTAGACCAACAAGCCATCTTGTTTGTGGACACTGCTGATCGCTTGGCCTCGTTAGCTAGAGATGCGCTGGTCCATGCACGCCTACCTAGTTTTGCCATCCCGTATGCCATTGATGTATTGACTACTGGGTCTTACCCACGGCTGCCAACCTGCATTAGAGTAAGTACATCCTCTCCCACCAACCCCATTCTTAAAAGCTGAAGGCTTTGGCATTGGAACTACTACAATATTAAGTAGACCACCAAAAACCTTCATACTTTCACAACAAATATTTACTTGCTTTTTCCTGTATAACTGAAATTGTGTTTTGTTTAAGTAAATTGGGGTCAGAATGTGAGCAGCTATGAAAACGGGTGGATCACTTTTTTTTGCGCTGAGGGAGGGCAGATATGCAGGTGTAACTTACATCTACTTCCCATATGAAAATACTGCATGCTGCTTGCTTTCGGGAAGTGTTTTAAATGTACCGTGCTGGTTTTTGACTGCCTTAGTAGCATTGGATTTTATACTTCTAAGCAGCGGTGGACATCATCTCGTGGCAGTAAGGTGGTTTCATAAACAGCAGGAAGAAGATCGTGTTGCATGACCGCCTTAGCGGGGTGACTGGGGGAATCACAAGGCACTCCAATGCATGAGAATAAAGGTCACTATTATTGGCTGTAGAAGGCAGGAATGAGTGTTAAGATTCTCTTGGGTAAAGTAAGAACATACTACATTAAGACGACACAGCTAAAAAGCATGCCCCTTTGTACATTATTTTAAAATCACTTACATTTTTTTGAAGGACAAAATTATTCCTCCAGACCCGATTACCAAAACTGAGAAACAAGCCACCCTTCACCAGCTGAACCAGATCCTTAGACATCGGCTTGTAACCACCGATCTCCCGCCTCAATTAGCAAATCTTACCGTTGGTATGTACCTGAAGGCTCTCATTTTAAGAATCGTTGGAATTTTTTTAAAGCTTTTGGGATTTTATTAAAAGGAATGTCATTACGAGGTTTTGCCCTACAATTCTGGTGGTGATTGAACCTGTGGCTGGTCAGCCTGCCATTTCTCCTTTATGACCGGAAACAGGGCTGGTATTTGAAGCTGACAGGCGGTGAGATCACTGTTGCTCCTTGATGCTGGGAGAGTTGCTTTTGGTTGCTTAATGACCCAGAACCTGGCTACTGCTTATGCAGGGACCACTGAATTGTTGGAACATTTGTGAAAAAACATTCAATCTGTTTACAATTTCTTATACGCAAGACTGAAGGTTCCGGGTTAGCAAAGAGCTGCTTACTCTTTTTTCTTTTTTTTAGCAAAGTAGACTTACTCTTCTTCTTTTAAAAGCAAATGGCCGGGTGAAGTTTCGAGTTGAAGGAGAATTTGAAGCCACCTTGACTGTAATGGGAGATGATCCTGAGGTTCCATGGCGTCTTCTCAAGCTAGAGATTCTAGTAGAGGATAAGGAAACAGGAGGTAAATCGTAAATATGGATTGAAATCCTAAGTATTGATTTAAATGTTGGAGTTTTTATATCATTGAAACATTTTGGCTGAATAATAAATATGGTTAGCAATTTATCCTGTAATTTGAAGCAAATTTTATGGTAATCATAGTTACCTACTGACCTTAGAGATATCAGTGTTTAAGTATATGTTCTCTAGTTTCCATAGATAGTTTCAGTTCTTTTAAAAAAATTTATTATTAGTTAATATATTTTTCCATAATTGGTACTATGATGATCTGTACGCTTTTCTGATTAACCACTTTGTTTTCTCCTGTGAATGGAAGATGGACGAGCCTTGGTTCATAGCATGCAAATCAACTTTATCCATCAGCTGGTACAATCTAGGCTCTTTGCTGATGAGAAACCTCTTCAGGACATGTACAATTGCCTGCGTATCCTTCTGGAATTTGAGACACATGTTTAGAAGGAATCGTGTCTCCTTCTCACCTCCGCATTTCCATCTGCCCCTCATCTTAAACCGTAGCAGCCAAACTCTCCCCATCCACTGGGTAGAAATGGGGCTGGGGAAACTATTCAATGTGAAGGATAGTAAGCTGAAGTAAACCAAGTTGTAAATTTACTGTTGACTTTGCGGGTAAAATAAAAAAATGATGACTTAGAAGTAGTGCTATTTGGAGAAAAAATAGTACTCTGGTCTCTAAACCATGATGAATTAAGGGGCAACTTAACGGTTCGCTTATATTGGATCAAAATTAAATATACATTTTTCTAAAACTATGCCACAAATGATGCCACTTTTTAGGATAAGTCATTGGCGAAATATAATTCCAGAAATTTCTTTCAGAACCACTTCTTCAGAATAGAGCTTTTGTTAACTGAAGTTTGCTTGTACTTCGTTGGCTGTTGTAGTAATATGTATCGTATTTGCTTAACGAGATCCATCAGATTCTTTTTGCTTGTCACTTCAGTTAGAAGTGCTACATTCCCAAACTCTGATGTTAATCCGGGAGCGGTGGGGAGACCTTGTGCAGGTGGAAAGGTACCATCCTGGGAAGTGCCTCTCCCTCTCCGTCTGGAAGTAAGTAAAGCTGGCTCTGGCGGGTTCCAGCTCTGACTGTAAACACTCTTTGTTTCTCTTTCTCTCTCGTACATCTGATGCACTGTATGCTGACAGCTGTGTGCCTCCCGCAATGTGCTTTTGTGTAGGAAGGCCCCATGGTATCATAGAAACTATAGAGGACATCTATAAAGGACAGCTTTCTTAGAACGTGGCATGTTTTAAGTATGTAGACATCTATCTGTATTAAGACTTACTCTTAAAAAGTGAGATGATTCTGGGCTCATACCAGATTGCTAAGAGACTTAGATTATTGGATATTATTTTAAAAACAAACCTGCTTGCTTATCACAACTTTACATTTTGAATTGCTACTTTTAACATCTTTTTGGGGGAGGGTTTTGGGAAAAATTAGTATCGAGCTGCTTACAGTCCCAGTTTCCTATTCGAACTTTGCTTGATCTCCATTTTCTGGAAAGGAATCCGAGATGAAGAGATATCACTTAGAATACAGTTTGTTCTTTTTGGGGATTTTTTAATTTACTTGTATGCATGTGTTTTATTTTTAAATTCTGTGGGTGTGTTTTTTGGTTTGTGGGGTTTGTGGATTTTGGTTTTTTTTTGGATGCAGTAAATCAAATATTGTGTTTGATTACAGAATAGCTGTCTTCCCAATAGTAATGTATTCCCTCCACAAACAGTGAGGGACTGCCATGTTCTGGCCTCTGGCTAAGGCACACAATGGATTGCCTCTACTTTATTCCACAAGTAAACAGGCGTTGTTGAAAAAATTGTATATTTTCTCTCTTTAGTCAACAGGTTCTTGGGAGAAAAACAGGGACGGCATCTGTTCACAAAGTTACAATTAAAGTCGATGAGAATGATGGCTCGAAGCCTTTACAGATTTTTCATGATCCTCCTTTGCCAGTTTCTGATTCCAAATTAGTAGAAAGAGCCATGAAGGTAGAGATCTCATTATAGTTTAATATTGGTTTAATTAAATGGATATAATGTAACTTATCATTTATACTTAAACTTTTAGTGTAAATTCTTTAAATTACCTAATTCTTCCTAATACCCTTTATGGAACTTGTTTTAAATGACTGTTACGCTTCTGCATTTGTTATTTTTAAAAATCTAATATTATAATTAAAAGATGTTCTTTCATATTTGATAATTTTGATCAGATCATCATTTTGTTTTTAAGGCCATTTAGTCTATGATAACTGATACATATAGTATCTTGATCTATACTCAACAGAATGTTACGTGTAGTCTTTAAGCTACCAGTACCACATGCTTACTTTTTTACTTTAAGTTTGTGCTTAATCATTGATTCTAAAAGGAAATATCTTGAAGCACAATAATCTGCTCAAGCTTTCAAGTAAAAATGTCTAAATTGCACGTGCGATTCTGTTGTTCTTGTCTCTGCAGATTGACCACTTATCAATAGAAAAGCTCCTGATTGACAGCGTGCGTGCGCGAGCGCATCAGAAGCTCCAGGAACTGAAGACCATTCTTAGAGGCTACAATGCCAATGAAAACTGTAGGTGCTTTTAAATGGGCGTCTTCGTTTTTGTTTACATTAGTATTCCTTTTATTTTCTGAAGGGTCCATCTTAACCTGCCCTCTGTCCTGCTATATAGTGTTGTTGTGAAGGTGGGACATGCTTGCATTTTACCCTGTGATCTAGCCAGCTTGTCCTAACTTTTCCCTTATTTTCTTTTGATTCAGCTTGGCCTTACTTTGGAAATGCCTGCATATTGACCCTCCTTAAAGCTCTTTTTTCCCTATTGGAATGGAAGCTATTTTAACATTTTAATCTGAATTTTATTTCTTTTAGGTTTTCTCCTAAGGTTAAGGCAGCTTTGCAAATGTTTAATAATGTAGTTATAAAACGTGCTTCTTTGAAGCAGAATGTATGCTTTGTCCTTTAAAACCTTTTTTGAATTGTTAACACATTAACAGGGTTCAAAATAAGAAATTCAGATAGATACTCAGTGAAAAATCCTCTTCCAGTTACCTAGTAGATCAGAGCTTTGGGAGATAGTCATTTAGAAAGTAAGTACTTTTCGTTCTAGAAATACAGTTTCACGGTATCATTATGGGCATATGTACTGTCCCCGCCCTAGTTGTTGGCTGTGACTACCTGTGCCCACAGTGAGCAGCCTTTAAGTGAGGTGAGTTGAAGTCCCCTATAAGTAAGAAGTCCTAATGGCACTAGCAGCAAAAGTACTGCGTTTCATGTCACAGAGCCCACCGCAACCCATTAGCCTTCCAAAGGTCCAGACTAGTCACACTGGAATGAACTGCGCTGATGAAGTAGAGAGAAACTGCCCGAAGAAAAGACAGGAAGTCGGGAAAATAAATTTGTGTTTAGAAAACATAATCTCCAAAAAGAGGATCTGAGACGAGCTAAAAGAGGAAGGGTAGCTTAACTTAAAGACGCAAATGTGAGCCTTAAAGAAATCGAGGGTGTGGCGGGCTCTGGCAAATGTAGTTGTTCCATCTACTTTGAGGGGGCGTGTCCTTTAACCCCATCAAGGTTTAGCATTAGATTTCTCAGGTTTTAAATTTAAATTTAATTATAAGATGTAGTGTAAATTGCCCCCTTCCCATTTTAATCCCACAAGCAATGTAACTAAATACAGACCTAAAATTTATGATTGGAAAGCATAATTAAAACTCTCATTGGACCTTCCTTTTTGTTTTTTTAAATTGCTTTATTGAGATACTAGTATGTGGGGAGTGTCCCTCAGCACCCTCGCCAATCTGGGATCTCTTAGGAGACATCCCTCTCTCAATCTGGGACTGTTGGCTCCTAACCGCTCACCTGCCTGCCCGCCTGATTGCCCCTAACCACTCTGCCTGCCGGCCTGCTTGCCCCAACAGCCTCTGCCTCTTCCTCGCCACCATGGCTTTGTTTGGAAGGATATCCAGAAGGTCTCCTGGTCTAATTAACGTATTACCCTTTTATTAGTATAGATAATTCACATATAATTCACTCATTCAGCGTTTTTTTTAAATATATTCAGAGTTGTGCAACCATTACCACAATCTAATTTTAGAACATTTTTATCATCCCCGAAGGAAACAATGTACTCATTAGCAGTCACTCCCCCATTCACCCCTCCCACCAGTTTCCTGGCAACCACTAATCTATTTCTGTCTATAGAATTGCCTTCCGGGACATTTCAGAGTAATATCACATATATGTTCCTATGAATGGAATGGCTGGGTCATATAGTGACTCTGAATGTTTTACCTTTTGACATGTTTAACACCTATTTTTTATTCCATTACTAGCACGTGAGGATTCTAGTTTTTCCCACATCATCACCAACACTTGTTATATTGTCTATCTTTGTTTCTAGCCACCCTGGTGGGTGTGAAGTGGTAACTCATAGTGGTTTAGATGTGCATTTTCCTAATGATTGTTGAGCATCTTTTCACTTACCTTTTTGGAGAAATGTCTGTCCAGATCTTTTGCCCATATTATACTTAGATTAATTATCTTTTTATAACAGTTCTTCATTTAAGTTTCTTTTCATGTATCATGATTTGCAAGAATTTTTTTTCATTCCATGAGTTGACTTTTCACTTTCTAAATGGTATTGTTTGTAAAATAAGTTTGTAATTTGGACAATGTTCAATTTGGCTATTTTTTTTTTTTTTTTTTTTTTTTTTTGCTTGTGCTTTTGGTGTCAAACCTAAAGAATTCATTACTTAACCCAAGGTCATGAAGATGTACTCTTGAGTTTTCTTCTAAGAGTTTTATAGTTTTAGTTCTTACTTTCAGGTAGGGATCCAACTGAGTTTTTTGTTTGGGGATATGCAGTTGTCCTAGTAACTTGTCTAATTTTTCTTATTTCTAATTTTTCAAAATAGAGAAATTCTAAAATTTCATTTGTTGGGATTGCAGAAAATAGGAGTTTGTGATCTTGTGATAGGCTCTGGTTAACTTCAGTATCGCCTGTAAACAAGGTTAGTAAGTAAAAACACTCAATATGATTGCCCAGGGGATATTTAAGTTACTTGGAAAAATAGACTGTACGCCTGTGTTTACATAGGAAGTGCTGTTTGAATAAGTTACGGAGGTTTTCCTGTAGCAGCATTTTGTAGCGATGTCACTACTTGAGTTAGCTGCCAGAAGACCTGAGCTCAGCTGCTGTCCTGAATGACCACACTCTTGGGCCCCGTTCTCTTTTGTCATTAGAGGATGTGCAGGCTCTTCCGGAATCTCAAACTCTAGCGAAAGTGTGGGTTTCCGGCCTGGGTGCCTGGGGAGGCCTCAGTGTTGGAGAAAGGTGCTTAAGAAGGAACTGTAGAGGGGACGGAGGTGCTGGCATGTGGGGTTGGAACTCTGTCCTCCTTTAGTCAGGCAGTCCTGGAAATGAGAACCGCAACAGTAAAGGGCCTGTGGACCCACCGTCTTAGGACATATGCTTTACCTTGTGTTTGTTGTTGTGTTCCTGGACCCTTCCATCTGCGGGCCGATGCTCTATCCACTGAGCCACAGCGGCTAGGGCTTTACTTTGTTTTTTAAATTCATGTTCATGCATTTATACTCCTCATGTAGTCTTCCTGGATCTCTTCTGTGAAGCCTGCTTTAGTCAGATCCCGGCCTGGGGCCAGGGCTGTTCTTGGAATCCCTTCTGCAGCCCCTTCAGCACCTGGCTTCTCCAGCGCCTCGCTGGCATCATCTGAGGACACGAGCAGCTCAGAGAGTGGAGCATCCCAGGGCTTGGCTAGGAGAAGGCACAGACAGCAGGGCGTGTGTGGCCAGGTGGCAGTCTGTGGGTTCTTACCGGTGGGAAGTGGGGGCGGGCGAAGGCTCCGGGAAAGCAGGCAGGGCTTTGGAGAGAAAGTGAATGAAAGGCCCCATTCGCAGCGTTGCCTGACTTGAAAACTGGGGTGCTCTCCTTGGGTTGTGTTCTGTCAGCACTGGCATTGGGTGGCCCGGTCAGTTCCGAAGCTGTGAAGCACACAGCCGTTCCTAATTGTGCCCACTTGCTTGTCTTCAGTCTTCCCCCTTCATGTTGCTGTCCGCTGGTGCCTTCCTCATGCCGTCCTCAGTGAAGAGAGGAGGAACAAGAGGAAATCTGTACATACATCGCTGCTGCGGGCAGTAGTCCCTAGTCCTGTCATCTTGTGCAGCCTGTAATTCCCCTTCTATATTTTATTCGCAGGGTTCTTCATTTTTGGATAACTTAACAGCTGTTGCCTTTAAGTGCGTAGGGCCTTATCTATTTTATTTTATGGACATTGGTGGTCATAAAATATGTCCAGAGATAGACATCAAAGCATTTTCTGTCTGTTGGACTGTGTTGTGTATTCTCCTTTGATCCCCTGTCTTTTCAAGAATGCTCAGTTTTCATAATCAGATTGAAGTTATAATGGTTATCCCAGTTGTCAGAACTAGTTTTACTCCATTGCTACACTTCAAAAATGTTTTTGCTTTAAGGAATATATCTCTGCCTCATTAGGAATTAGAACAGTACAGATAAGTTTTAAAGTCAGCAACCCTGCTTCAAGTCTGTAAGTACTTTTTATTTTACTAACAGTCAGTTCAGCAGAACGTGAACTAATTTGGAACACTGTTCTGAATTATAAAATGTGGTAAAGAAATTCCTGTGTGCCTTTTTGTTCTATTTTTTATCTGTTTTTAGGTGAGTTCTGCTGGATCTGCTGTTAAACATTGGTATACAGAGATGTACCACATATACTTGAAAGCAGCTTGTTTTCATCTGACTGTCTTTCCTTTTTTTGCTTTATTAATTTGTTCGACAATTTGTATAGATAGTACCAAGGGTAACTTCCCTCATTTTAATTGTTGCAAATTCACAAGGAGATGTTTTGGTTTGTCTCTTTGACTCATAAAGGTAATGTACCTTGTTAAGCACGTTGCTTTTTAAGCCACCTTTACAAACTGGTCACTTTTTCCTCCTAAGGACCCCTGGCATGGACAGCAAGATGTTATTGTCCTTGTCTAACACAATAGCACAGAGAAGTCACCCTGAGGGAGGGCTGGGCCTCCATGTCCTCTCCGCCCTCTGCCTTTCTCCCTGCTAGCCTTAGGAATGGGCCACCAGAGAGCACATCCCTCTCCCAGCTCCCCTCTGCTCCCATCAGCTGGGTGTTCTCAGCGCTTTGCTCTTTCTTGCTCTGTCCTGCCAGCTTGTGGGGGGAAGGGGAGGGTCATTAGGCCTGCTGGAAATGCTGAGAATCCCGAGAACGGGTGCATTGGCAGCCTTGGGAGTTTGTGTATAGAAGTTGCCTACGTCCTTATTTTATCTGTGACTTGAAAATGAGGCACATAAATAATGAAAAACATTTTTATGTATAATTAGTAATGTTTAATAATTCTCACGTGTGGTTTGTTTTCTAAACACATGGGCCCTAATTGCCAGAAAACCTTTCTTTATGAAGAGTGGCATTGAGAATATTTATGCCGCCCTGACCGGTGTGGCTCAGTGGATAGAGAGTCAGCCTGTGGATTGAGGGGTCCTGGGTTCGATTCCCGTCAAGGGCCTGTACCTTGGTTGCGGGCACATCCCCGGGGTGTGTGTGTGTGTGTGTGTGCGTGTGTGCAGGAGGCAGCTGATCAATGTTTCTCTTTCATTGATGATGTTTCTAACTCTATCCTTCTCCCTCTCTGTAAAAAATCAATAAAATATATTTTAAAAAAGAGAAACTATGCCATAAATGAAACTTCTTTGATTTACCAAACAACTGATTTGCTTCGCACTATATAAAAGAAAATCCTTAAAAATTAACTTATTGGTCATTCATAGTGAAAGTAAAACTAGGACCCAGCTCACTAATGGGGTTAAATTCCCTCTGGCTATTTTAATGCTTTTCAAGGCCCTTTGGGACTTCTTTGCTACAATATTTGAGTTGGGCATATTTGTTTTACTCCACATTGAAGATTACATTCTTCCTTTTGAGCGCCTAATTGCCTTCATTCATCCCAATTTTGCAAAAATCATGTTTTCTGTCAGGATTGTTTAATAGTTGACTTGTTTCTAGTCTCTGAGATATATACATATATTTTAAAATGCTCAGATAGAAATATAATTTTTAATTCTAACTGTTCAGCTTCCATAGAGACTGCACTTCCAGCTCTTGTTGTTCCCATCTTGGAGCCCTGTGGTAATTCGGAGTGTCTACACATTTTTGTGGATTTGCATTCTGGAATGTTCCAATTGATGCTTTATGGACTTGGTAAGTTAGTAAATGATGTAGTCATTCAATGTAAGGAAAACTACTTTTAACAAAAGCAGAATCAAAAATTTCTGCCACTAGATATTGAGAAGAGCGGGTGAGCAGTGTAGAGAGGCGTAGATATGGAAAGAATAACTCGCTGACATCTGTTCCTTGGTGCCCATTTTAGCGCCACTTTGGATTTTCTTGTACCGGAAGTTAAACTTCCCAATATGAACTACATTCACGTTGCTTCTCTTACATAAAAGTCATAATGTTGATGGCTGATATGGTTCAGATGTAACGATTTTACCACTAATAGTTGGGAGACATGAAGATGGCCACGAGGGATTCTCGTGTCATTCATGGCTATAAACATCTAAGATAACTTGAGGTACAGGATCCTGGAGGAAAGGTTTTTTCCTGGCTTAAATACAGTAGAAATTAAAGTTCGATTGCTTACATGTTCTGTTACTGAGCTGGCATTCTAAAATGGTAAACTACTAGGAACTTAGTGCCAATGGAACATTGCTCTTGAGCATGTTAGTACCTTTGCCATTTGAAATGAACATTAAGCTGCATAGATTGCTGGAAAGAAAAGGTTTCTAGTTCTGTTGTATGGCTATAAAGAGAGCTTTTTCTACCAGCTGCTGGTGGAATACTGGCCACATTACTTTGAATCACATCACATGTGTGATGGCTAAATGACAAGTGACACATTTATGAATTACCTTGCAACTATGACTCCAAACCAACCAGGCAATTGTTGTTTGCTCTTAAAAACTTTACTTAACTGTTTTCTTGATTATTAACACAGTAATACTCACCAGTAAAAACCTAAACGTGTAAAAATGAGAGAAGTAAACAATAGTTTCTCTTGGCAGTCATTGTCAGTTTAGTGTATCTGCTTATCTCACTCCTCTCAGGCTGCCATAACAAAGAGCAGAGCGTTTCCTCTCTGTGCTGGAGGTCAGAAGTCTGAGAGCAGGTGGCCAGCACGGCTGAGTTATGGTCAGGGCTCTCTTCCTGGCCTGCAGGCTCCGGCCTTCTCACTTGTCCTCACGCGGCAGGAAGAGGGAGAGAGCAAGCTCTCTGGCCTTTCTTATAAGGGCACTAACCCCACCAGGAAGCCCCCAACCTTATCTGAGCCTAGTTTTTTCCTGAAGGCCCTGCCTCTGCTATCACCGGCAGGTAGGGGAATACAGTTCAGTCCATAGCAGTGTTTTTTTCTTTTTTCTGTATTTTTTTCCTTTAGTTGAAATCATTTTATATTTAGCTTTTTGCTCAACATTCTATTATTAGCATTATCTAGTGTCGTTAAAAATTCTAAGTGACATTTAGTATGCTAATCTTCAGCCAGCAGCTCTTGTTTATGCCAGAGACCATTTGTGTTTAATAAGTATTATAATGGAATTTTATAGTTTTTATAAATTTTAAGGTTCTTCGTCTAGTAATATTAAGAGCTTTCAATATAGATAAGTTAAAAATATCAATTGACTTCAGAATTTTGGGAATTAAAGTGTAGGCAAAGAATTAATTCATATATTTGTTACTTATTCTTATTGCAAGTATACATTTGCTACTAATTAGTTGTCTTAACTATAACTCTCCCTAAATGTTAAAGAGGAAAAACAGATTAGGTTAATTTATGCCTAATGATGCATTTAGTTTAGATTTTTTTTCTAACTCCAAAGTAACACTCCTTTCTGCCTAAAACAATAATTTTATTTAAGTTTTGGGCTATCTAGATATTGTGTCTTGTACAAGTAATTAATTAAAATGCTTTATTTTGTAGATCAGGCCACTTTGGATGACATGGAGAAGTCTGTGAATGATGATATGAAACGGATTGTTCCTTGGGTTCAACAACTTAAGTAAGCTTAATTATTTAGCTCAATGCTAACAATGGAAACTTTTAAAAAATATATTTTTATTGATTTCAGAGATGAAGGGAGAGGGAGAGAGGGATAAAAACACCAATGATAAGTGTGAATCATGGATCAGTTGCCTCCTGAGCACCCCTCCACTGCAGATGAAGCCTGCAATCCAGGCCTGTGCCCTGACCAGAAATCTAACCGTGACCTCCTGGTTCTTAGGTGGACGCTCAACCACTGAGCCATCCCGGCCGGGCTCCATTATTGCTCTTGGTCAGTCCTTAATGTTTATGACATGGAGCTTGAACACCTTTAGTACTTAATGGTCAAATCTAAATTCTCTTGGAGTCGGTCCAGGATGGCAGTGCTTCGTATTAAATTCCCCTCTAGAGCAAACGGAGGTATGAAGGGCGTGGCGTTCAGCTTGCATTCTTGCCTCTTTTTCTCTTGCACAAGCACGCAGCACAGGGAATTTTATTGGAGCTCGTGTTCTCTGCCATAGTGCCTTATTTGTTCTTAGCCAGGGTATGCATCTACCAGCTGACACTTCCAAAATAATCATTCCTGCTTCTCTGATACTATCGTTCAATTTGTCTCAAAATCCTTTGAACGCTTCATGCTGTGAAACTAAATAAAATGGAAAACGGAGCTAGAGATAATCCTTGAAGGTTTCATTACCACTCTAGTCCACACAGGTATCATTATAGCAGCTCTAGCAACTTTCTTAAAATTAATAAATCAACAAAAATTCCAAGAGAGAAATATAAGTTTTAGAGATCAAGGCTAGAGCTGGCAAATGGAGAAGGGGCGGATCTATTGCTTTTGTGATCTAGCCTACCTCTTCCCCTTTGGAAGTTTTAGGTGGTAAAAATTCAAACATTTTGATATCAAGTCATTTTTCTCATTAACGGGACATGATTTTAAATGCCAATAGAGATAATATTACATGAACCTTTTTTTTTTTTTACATGAGCTTTTTGAACGGCTGTTTAGTTTGTATGTGAAAAATGATAGTCATTACTCTAGATAACAATTTCTAAACTTTTTGTTGTTTAGCATCAATTTTTGTACATTTTAGCTAAACAAGCAAGGTTTAAATACTTAAATGCTTCATAATTCACATTTTGCATAACTTAAGGTTATCTGGTATGCAAGTATACATTTGCTACTAATTAGTTGTCTTAACTATAGCGTTGCAAACAATCTGGTAGTTCGAGCCTGCAGAAATATAACTAAAACCAGATAGCTAAATCCCCAAAGCCTTAAACTCACATATGTGATTATAGGAAAGGTCCCTTGGTCGGCCAGGTACCTTAGCTGGTTGGAGCATCATCCTGGTCACCAAAAGATTGCAGGTTTGATTCCGGGATAGGGCACATACCTAGGTTATGGGTTCGAACCCTGATTGGGGTGCATACGGGAGGCAACTGATCTATGTCTCTTTTCCTACCTTCCCCTCTCTTCCTTCTTCCCTTCCTCTGTCTAAAATCAATAAAAACAGGCTCAGATGACGATTAAAAAAAAAAAAAAATCCTCTGGTTGTCAGTTATACCGTTTCTCAAATGATCTTTGATGAATAACCAGTTCGTCACTAATTTATCATGGAACATTAATTTTTTGAAATAACCATTGAAGTATAATTTGCTTATCATAAAATTCACCCTTTTTAAGTGTGCAATTCAATGACTTGTAGTAAATTTACTGAGTTTACTACCATAGCCACAGTCCAGTCTTAGAACATTTTTTATCACCTCCAAAAGGTGCTCATTCACAGTTCATTCCCATTCCCAGCCTTGGCCTCAGGCAAGTCTGAGCCTACTTTTCATTTCTGCAGATTGTCCTTTTCTGGACATTTCAAACAAATGCAGTCATAAAGTATGTGATCGTTTCTGACTGGCTTCTTTCACTCAGCATAACGTTAATCAGAAAATTGTATGATTTTATGATGTGGATTACCTTTTTTAAATTAAGGTTTTGGCTTGGACAACAGCGTTGCAAACAATCTATAAAGCATCTGCCTACAATAAGCACTGAAACATTGCAGCTGTCCAATTACTCAACTCATCCTATTGGAAAACTTTCTAAGAATAAGCTGTTCATTAAACTCACTCGCCTTCCGCAGTACTACATTGTAAGTATGCAAAGGGGGGGTTGGGTGGTGCAGTTCAGTGGTTCTGTCAGTGTCTTCAATAATATATTGTTTAAGTTCATTTGCAAATGTATTTTATTGGGTAACTGACTTTTGTATGGTGATTCTAAACCCAGGAGGGAGGAAGAAGGGTAGGGTTGGGAGAGAGAGGAAAATTCTAAGAAATTTTATAATGTGCAGGCAGGCTAGGGGAATATAAGATATATCCCCATTTCTCACCCATTCTGATATGGGATGGTATCTTACTGCAGTCTTAATTTGCGCTGCCCTCATGACTGATGATGTTCAATATCTTTTCATATGCTTATTTGCCATCTGTAGGTCTTCCTTGGTGAAGTGTCCATTTTACTTTTAATTCTTCCATTTCCTCGGGAGTATCAGTGTGATGCTTAGGTGTTGGCCAATTTCCTGAAGAGAGTATCTGGGGAGGCGAGGGGAGAGGTAGGGGAGAGATAAGAAAGTGTTGGTCAAGAGCTTTGCCTAAGGGCATTTCTTTCTCTCACTAAAGTATTGAGGAGACTTTGCTTAAATTTCAGGTAGACCTTGAAAATGGTAAGTACTGAGGGTAAGAACAAGGTCTCTAGAGCCAAACTTCTGGGGTTAGAGAGTGAATCCATCGCTTCATAGCTCTGACACCTTGGGCAAGTAACCTAACTCTAGTGCCTCAGTTTCCTTATCAGGAAAAGGAAGATAATTTTATTTCCCAGAGTTATTAGGAGGTTTAAATATGTTACACTTGTCAAGTAGTTAGGACAGTGCATGGCGCATAGCAAGCTCCCTGTCATCTTGGTGATTCTGTTATTATCCTCACAGTGGCTACATTTTGCTGTTGAAAAGACGGAGTTCATTTTTATATGCTTCCAAGTATGAGAGAGTTGTCCTTTTTTTCTGCCATAATAGTGGAATTCTTAGGATGTTTTAGTGGTGAAGGGAGACAGCAGGGCAAATTGAAATAGGTGACATTGTAGAAAATCTAGCAGAGCTGCTGATCTTAAGCATAACTTTCCCCCCAATTTATAAGCTAAGGCAGGAATATCAAGAACATCTAATGAAAGTAGTCTGCATGCCCCATTTGCTATAGTTTAAGGTTTTTACTATTGTTGTTCTTTAGTCTGATCAATTTTTTAGAAAATTATCAATTTACTGGGTAGGAATGCTTTTTTGGACATTGCAATTAATTTGTCTTGTGTAAAGAAAAAATACATCATTAGATTTATAATTCTAAGCCCTACTTGATATCGGGAGGAACATATCCAACCCCTATTATTTTCTGAGTTTCATTTCTTATGTGGGCCCTTTTAGGTTGTGGAGATGCTGGAGGTTCCCAATAAACCCACGCAGCTGTCGTACAAGTACTACTTCCTGTCCGTGAGCGCAGGGGAGCGTGAGGACGGCCCTGTCATGGCCCTCCTGCTGCAGCAGTTCAAGGACAACATCCAGGAATTGATTTTCCGGACAAAACCCGGGAAACAGCCCAGAACCGGCACCAAGCGCAAGGTATGCTCACATGTGCAGATAAGCACAGCGTTTGTGGGCATGAACTTCATTGTAGTCTTAGCATGTTTTTAATATGGGAAGGAATTAGATCGTTTTTAAAAGATGTGGCAGCAATAAGATTTAAGTCATAGTTGTCTACATTTTCTTGGAAATGCTTCTCTTTTAATTAATAATTAACTATACACCATTTTCCACAAGAGAACTGGTTAAATACACAATATTTACTGCTACATTTCGCGTGTTTGTCCAATAATATTTGCTGAATGAGTAAGATTTGTACTTAACCTTGAGCTTTCTCGTAGTTTAACTGCCTTAACTAATTGTGTCACACACACTTTTTTTCTGTTTTTTACTTATATTCTAGCTGTCTGATGACACGTGTCCACTGGAACCTAAGAAAACGAAACGTTCAGGAGAAATGTGTGCCTTCAATAAAATCCTCGCTCACTTTGTCGCTGTGTGTGATACAAACATGCCATTTGTAGGACTTCGGTTGGAGGTAATTTTGTAACAGTTTTGGATACTCTGAATGAAGTGATTTTTCAGATGCTTTGCTAAAGCCACGTGGATTCCTTTAGGAGAATCAGAACATTGTCAGTCTTGTTCGTCTCAGGAGGAGTGGGATTGAAATCATCCACGTAAAACAACTCACATTATTTCATCTCTCTCATCTGAAACTGTGTGCCCTCTGCTCTTTGTGGAAGTGGAAAGCAAATTCTTCTCAGTTTTAAAACAAAAGGACAGCTTTTGAGAACTAACATCTCGTATACTTCTCCCTGGCAGCTTTATTTAACTTTGTGAGACATGGCCAGTGGATAAAGGGGTGGCTTATTTTTGAGTGGATGAAACTATACGTATTGCTTACACAGTAACAAAATGGGTTCTTTTCTGAGAAGCAGGTCAGAAAGAATCTTCAACTGAATTTACTTTTGTCACATGGAAGAGGCGTAGACTTGCGCAATATTCATGTTTTTCAAGAATACACAGCTGTATCATCCAGCATGACCCCCAAATGTGAAAGTAAAAGGGAGGGAGCAGACAGAATCTGCTTTCCATCAAGGGCTTTAGGCAAGGACAGCACCCCTTAAATCCTCGATTATTTCGCTCTAGTTGAAGTTTTGTGTTGTTTTTTTTTTGTAAGACTCCTTCCCTCTGGGAATTACTGTGAAGGAAGGAGGAGATCTGGAAATGCGGAAGTGGAGTGTTTCCGGTGCCCTGATGATGACAGTCTCAGGAAGACTTTCAGAAAACACTCTCGTGCTTTAGAGCAGGGGTTGGCAAGCTTCTTTTGGAAAGGGCCAGATAGTTAATAGTTAGGCGTGTGGGTCAGATGGTCCCCTACCACAGCTTCTCAATCTGTTGTGAAGTGTCAACCAGCCATGTTGGTACTTTAACAGATGAGCACGGCTGTTGTCAAGTAACAGTTATAAGAACAGGCAGTGGGCTGCCTTTGGCCCCGAGCTGTTCTGCGCTGACCCCCGCCTTATAGAGCTGTGGGAACTCAAGGTGGGCATCAGCTGTGGCATCGTGAAGAGCATCAGAAGCCCTGAGAAATGCCAGCCCAGAACAGGCACCTACAATAGATCCTCCTGTCCTCAGTGTCGCAGCTGCTAGAGCTGAGAGCTTGAGGGATATTTTCTGGGCTCTGGCCACAGCTCCCAGACTGTACAGACCGCGCCCAGGCCTCCCATCTGCTTGGCTGTGTTCTGGGCCTTTCTCACTGTGCTGTGAGGCTGAGTGTGAGTCAGGCAGTGCTACCTTTGCAGGGGGAAGGGAGGGTGCATGGTGTCCAGGGGCAGAGTAATGCAATTGTTTCCTCTTTTCCTGCCTGGTAATCCCCCCCCCCCCCCCCCGAAATCACAGAAATGTGTCTTTGTAGTGCCCACATGGACTAGCACCGATAGACCCATGTCCTCTCTGTCCCCTTCTCTGCACTCCCATACGTGTTACACACATGAGACATGTGAGCTCTTGTCATCTCAATCAACCTCTTAAAACCTTGCCTACTTTCCTTCTCTCAACGAAAAAGACACGTTAAAGACAAGCAAGCACATTTTCTGCTTAAAGCAATTTGTGCCGGGATGTGAATAACGAACCCTAATCTTACCTGGGCTCTTTATTTATGGGACCCATAGAATAAAGGCAACATTTTTTTGAGCCCTTCACCCTACGATTCCTTTTAAATCTACACCCCTACTGCCTGTTTGGCCAGGGCTGCTTTTTCTAAACCTTTGCCCTTCCCCGGTCAGATCCTTAGGGCTGCCTTAAAGCCTTTCTGGACCCAGGTCACGGAAATAGAAGCCCGGGCCCTCTGCCAAAGGCAGGCCTTCCTTTGTGGGTCGGTGACTTTCCGGCACACCTACGTAAGCTGGAGTGCCATGGAGAGTCTCAGCCCACCCCCCCCCCCCCCATCATCTTTATCCTGCCCTCTCCCAGCCCTCCCACTGGGAGCTCTCCTTCCCGGGCTCCACAGGAAATGGCTAAAAATCAAAATGTGTCCTGAGCTCTTTGGCTCAGTGGAGAGAGCGTCGGCCTGTGGACTGAAAGGTCCCAGGTTCGATTCCGGTCAAGGGCATGTACCTTGGTTGCGGGCACATCCCCAGTAGGAGGTGTGCAGGAGGCAGCTGATCAGTGTTTCTCTCTCATCAATGTTTCTAACTCTCCATCCCTCTCCCTTCCTCTCTGTAAAAAAGCAATAAAATGTATTACAAAAAATCAAAATGTATTCCAGAAAGGTTCTGAACTAAAAAAATAATTGTCTGTGATTAGAAGTGAGATCTATCATTGAAACAGGGTTTCAAACGAATATAATTGAATTACATTGGTAAACCAATCTTATTTTACAATTGAATCATTTGGAGCCACCAGAACAGGTTATGGGTTGCTTCTGGTTCCCACGAAAATGGGGTCAGTCTCCCAAATTTTGAAGGTTTATCACCCAGGGAGGTGTTTTTTAACCAGAAGCTCTGGGTCACCTTTGAGTTTCTCTAGACTTTAGTTCCCAGAAAACCAAACGATGCGGACAGTGCTCTGCCTCATATGGCGCAGCTTTGAGAAAGCGCCGCCCTAGGAAAGAGGATTTAGAGAAGGTCCAGTTGGTGGGCTGATCTAACGGTGCTTTTCTCCTCTAGCTGTCCAATCTGGAGATTCCCCACCAAGGAGTGCAGATGGAAGGCGATGGCTTCAGCCATGCGATCCGCTTATTGAAGTAAGTCCCTGTCGTGTGTGTCGCTGGGTGCCACCCATGGCAGCCCCCAGGCCGGAGCCGCTCCTGTCCCCTCGGGGCTCAGCACAAAGCAGTCAGAGTGTGGGTGCCACGGATTTCTGCAGAGAATTGCTACGGCCTGGGGGAGGATTCTCTTTCCCCTGCCGAGTGGCAGTCTATTGGTGTTTTAGGTTTTCTTTCCTCTGCTTTTCTTCATTCAGCGATGCTTCCTGAGTGACTCTATCAGGCTTGCTTTCTGATGGAGCCTTCAGGATGCTGGGTGGGGGCGGGGGTCACACAGCAGAGGGATCTGGGCTAGTTCGGAAGTCAGGAAAGCACCGGACCGAGGGAGAGGTGAGAATTAGAGGAAGGGGAGCAAGGGGGAAAGGGCGGTCCTCGCCAGAAGGGGTGACTGCTTTTGTGAAGGCTTGGAGGCAAGAGAGCTCAGCACGCTGGCACGGGGAGAGCATGGCAGGAGTAGGAGAGGTCAGCATGGCGGGTGCAGGTCCGTGGGGTTTTGAAAGTGTCCTTAAGGAATTCAGACTTGATCCTACTGGCAGTAAGAAGCCACCAAATGATTTGAAACAGAAACTGACATCATTAAGTGTTTTTGAATGATGGGTGGGTGTGGTGTTTGGATGATGGGGAGTGTGGTGTTTTCTGAGATGAGGGGCACTGGAGGTGTGCGTTTGAGGGGCTTTCCTAGGTCTGAGGTCCCTGGACAGCCCTTTGGGTAGGTAGGAATGTCTCAGGCTCAGAAGACAGGTCTGGGCAGCACAGGCAGATGAGTCAGGAGCTCCAGTGGTGCAATCGGTTAGCGCGGTGCTTCTCAGTCATCACCAAGGTGACAGTAATTGAGCTGGGATCGTAGATTAGATCGCCAGGAGAGAGGGTACAGAGGGAGATGGACAGGGGGCTTGGCTTGCTTCTAAACAGAGGGCAAGGGGCCAAAGGAAGCTTAAGAGGAAAGCTAATGTATTGTTTGTGCTCCAGAAGGCGACCAGGATGGACTTACAAAGGTAGCATGCCATTTAAGAGAGAGAGACACTTCTATTGACTTTTTTTTTAGAGAGAGGAAGGGAGAGAGAGAGAGAAAAACTGACTATTTGCCTCCCTTACATAAACCGATGGGAGATCAAACCCGCAACCTAAGCATGTGCTCTGACTGGGAATGAACCGGAGACCCTTCGGCGCATGGGACCACACTCAACCAACTGAGCAACACTGGCCAGGGCAAGGGATCAACCTTTTTCGTGCAGAAAACATTTTTTTTTTCTGATGATGTTTAATTATATAAATCATATAAGCAGTTTTACTGATTGAGCTCCTGTCTGCGAAGACCTGAGCCAGCAGGGCTTTCTGTGTGGGACTTGGGAGTCAGTCTTGCAGTGGGAGAAGGGAAGGGTAGCAGGCGGCATGCACACCACCTGCGTGTCCTGGTGTCTGCTCCAGAGAAAGCGTTGAAGAACTGGCAAAGCTTCCCCTCCTGGCTACCACAATGCCATCTCTACGAAAAGTGGTTTTCCGGAGCCGGAGAGCTAGCCTTACAATGGGCATCAGTGGGAAATGCAGTACTCTTCATTTAATTGCATTCGGTTTGGAATTACTCGGCTTCAAATGCAGGGTATTTCTTTCTTTTCACTCTTCTTGGCAATTGCAGATGAGTAGGTGATTTTAACTTTTGTGTTCTACTTTCTTAGTTACTTACGTTTTCATATTTTGCAAGAGTTTTAAAATACCTTATTCTCAGCATTTTTATGAAAGCAATTTCAGTCCCCTTTTGAGAACTCATAATCCTCCTGCCTAAGAAGGTAGTTTACTTTTATTCTCTCTGCTACAGTTGTAACCTTAAAAGCAAGTAAATATTGTCCAAGTTGCTTAGGGTAACCCAATTATATTTATGTCACAGATGAAGAACGTGACATGGAATATGTTTTCAAGGTTGTATTGTCCTGAGACCATAAATTGGAAGGAGTCTTAGTCTAACATAGTTCTTATTGAAAATGTGCTGGCTCCTGTGTGTTCATCTCCTAACCAGATGGGTTTCATGAAATACCTATTTTATCTGATTGATTGCTTTATAACTCTTATGGGTAGGGGCAGGCATATGTGTGCCCGGCTGGAGTGGCTCAGTTGGTTGAGCATCATCCTGTGCACCGAAAGGTTGCCAGTTTGATTCTCAGTCCAGGCATACACCTGGGTTGCAGGTTTCATCCCCAGTTGGGGCGCCTACAGAAGGCAGCTAATTGATGTTCTTCCCTCCCTCCCTCCTTATAAGCATGTCCTTGGGTGAGGATTAAAGAAAAACATACATGCAGTGTATGTGATTCCTATAATAACTACCCCAAATAAAATCTTCCTGGTAGTAATAAAAGGTCTCTAGTATGAAAGATTCACTTTTGAAAGACTCAAAAAGCTGTACATTTAAGAAGCGTTGTAATGAATTTTTAATTGAGAAAAGTTCAGTACTATGTTAATTTTATGCAACCTTATAGATTTCTTTCCCCTACAGAGTTTATTTTTTACCATATGCAATTTCCATCTCTTGTTTGCTCTCTGAAGTTGTTTATTCTAGGGCCAGTGGTCTCAACCCCAGGGTACTCTGCCCTCTAGATATTTGGCAATGTTTGGAGATATTTTGGGATTTCATTAACTTAAAAGAGGGGATAGGGTGCTCCTGGCGTCTGGTAGGGAGAGACCAGGGCTGCATTGGACAGCCCTCCACAGCAGAGTCCAGCCCAACATGTCAGTACTGCCAACACTGAAAATCCCTGTTCTAGGAGTTACCTTCTGAACAAGATTCCGTTTCCAGTTATAGTTGTTGTTGGTTTCCTTAGTTATTGATAATCATACCAAGCCTGAGAATTGATCCACCTCCCTATGAGTTACAGGATAATGTAGGCAGGGTTGAAGAATATATTATCTCATTGTTTCATCCATTACTGAAAAGAGCTAAACTGTTTTACCTCTCAGTGTATTATGACAAATAAGAGAGTCATACAATTGCGAGAAAATGGATAGGTAGGTGTGGTAAGACAACTAAATTAATACATTTCTCTTGTATATGTGATACATGTGAGTGATAATATGTGTGCTAACTGAATTCATACATTTAAAGTTCATCATAGTGCATGTCACTCTACAGAGGAGGCAAAAGGGACGATAATGAACCTGGAATTCTGTCATGGCGGTCAGTGACGAAGATTTGTTTGACTGCAAGGGGGGTTAACCTCTATGAATATTTGCTGTATCAGCCACCATAGCACTTTATATGTCTTAAAAATCACTGACCATGAAGGAGTTATTTGTCTCCATTTTGTAGTTGGAAACTGAAATCCAAGGGTTTAAATGCGACTGAGTGAGAATTCAAATGCAGTCCCTGATCCCATCGCCCCGTACTTCCCACTGTGTCATCCTGCCTTCCAAAGTGACTTCACCAGCATTTTGTTCCCCTTAGTTTTTCCTTGAGGGTGGTCTAATAGATTTTGTAGAAAGTCAATACCCTTGATTTTTCATTCTCAGGAATTGTGGTCTTTTCTAATAACAAGATTAAGGGTGAAAGCAAACAGCGTTTTGTTAAGATGAGAGTCCTAACCTGTGTTGAAATGAACGGAAATGAGTTAAATGCTATTAATTGCCTTCAATTGCTATGAGTTGCCTCCTTCCTTTACAGAAGGTGCCAAGTAGGGACTTTGAACTGAAGCTCCAATGTCAAGGCTCTCCTGTCATTGTAGCAATTGTGCTTTTGTCTTTCTGTGCGGGAAGTGCTTCATGTGCTGGCTCTCCTCCCCAGAATCCCCCCCTGTAAGGGTGTAAGTGAGGAAACCCAGAAGGCGCTGGACCGCTGTCTCCTCGATTGCACTTTCCGACTGCAAGGAAGAAATAACCGCACGTGGGTGGCAGAGTTAGTGTTTGCAAATTGTCCGCTTAATGGCACTTCTACCAGGGAACAAGGTGAGATGCTTTACACACTTTGTCTTTGGATATTTCTGGGCCTTTTTTCATACTGATTGCTATTAATTTCTCTCTTAATCCTGTAGGACCATCCCGGCATGTTTATCTAACATATGAAAACCTGTTGTCTGAACCCGTTGGTGGTAGGAAAGTGGTGGAAATGTTCCTTAATGACTGGAATAGCATTGCACGATTATATGAGTGTGTGTTGGAATTTGCACGTTCTCTACCAGGTACGTGTGATAATCTTTTTTTTTTTTTTTTTTTTTTTTTTTTTTTACTAAATTACACATTTTAGAGACCTTTTGATCAAGGAATATAATAGTGCCAAAATACCCTCCTTTTCAAATATATATTTTTCATTTTGCATGTGTAATCTTAATCTCCTTTTTGTTTCCTTTCTATTTAGACATACCTGCTCATCTAAATATTTTCTCAGAAGTTCGTGTTTATAATTATCGAAAACTTATCTTGTGTTACGGAACCACCAAAGGAAGCTCAGTAAGTATATGAATTAATTAAAACTGAAGTTCCTCTCATCAATCTTGTAAAAAGCAAGAATTCAAAAATTATGAAAACTGCCTTGAAATAATTGGGGGCTCAAGTAAAAATTAGGGATAAATGGTAACATTTAAATATTTTGTTGATATAAATATAGTGTACTATAATGTTTAACTCTTTTAAATTGAAAACAAAAATTATACCCTCTTTGATGGGTATATAATCTTGAGTTTTTGACACAATAATGTACTTTTAGTTTTTGCATTTTGTTCTTAACTGATTTCAGATTTGCTTAGCAATGTGATTACTGTGATGAAGTTCACATAGGAGTTGGAATAATATGGTACTGTCTACTTTTGGTCATGTGATAATGAACATTGTTTAATCTTATCTTGCTTTTTAAGGTATTCCCCATAATTCATAGTTTTTGCTATGGGGTTTTTTTGGGGTTTTTTTCTACTTCACATGTAAAGCCCTAGAAATTTAATATGAAGATTCAGCCAGCTGGCTTCTTTCTGCACTCTCCACATCAAGTAATATCAGAAATTAGTTGAGTGTTTAAAAATCTGTTAACGAAGCCATCTGTGTTGGAGGTGGCTTCCTTTGCGTTATGATTGTTTGCACCTACAGGGTGACTCCTTCAGCTCAAGGAAAAGTGAACATTTGAAACACCATTGGTAATTTTTAAGTAACAAAATGTTTTCTTTAGCGCCCTCTGTTTCATTTAGAAGTGGGCTCTCTAACAGCACGCTCAGCAAATGCACTAGACCTTAGTACCAGCACGTCTGGGATTTAGAGAGTCCAGTCTTAGGAGTTGCTTTCAGGAAAGAGCTAATTCAGATCTTTGGAATTTTGCCTTACTGTTGAAACATTTTTTCGACTACTTGAATCTTTTACTCTCTGTGTCTGAAATCTGTATTCTTTTTGCTTTAGATTAGTATCCAATGGAATTCGATACATCAGAAATTTCACATTTCTTTGGGAACTGTTGGTCCAAACTCAGGTTGCAGTAACTGTCACAATACCATTCTCCATCAGCTTCAAGAAATGTTCAACAAAACACCAAATGTGGTTCAGTTACTACAGGTAATTGAGTTTATTTTCTCTCTAAAAATGAGATTCGGTTAGTACTAGTGACGAGGGTGGTCGTCTGTGTCTTTCATATCTTGCACTTTTCTTGGAGAATTTTCTTTGATTCAAAGTGGACAGAGCGATCTAGGAAAAGTTTTCTGGAATGTGTCAGAAGGACATCGTCTCATTTATGATGGTTCCACATTGAAAATTCTGAGGTTCTGTCATTGTACAGAAGCCGGCTGCTCTCACTGTGTTTGCTCCTCGTAGGTACTGTTTGATACTCAGGCTCCGTTAAACGCCATCAACAAACTCCCCACTGTGCCCATGTTGGGCTTGACCCAGAGAACCAACACTGCCTACCAGTGCTTCTCCATCCTGCCGCAGTCGTCCACCCACATCAGACTGGCCTTCAGGAACATGTACTGCATTGACATCTACTGCCGGAGCCGGGGCGTGGTGGCCATACGGGATGGTGCCTATAGTCTCTTTGACAATAGCAAGTTAGTTGAAGGATTTTATCCTGCACCGGGACTAAAGGTAACGGACTAAGTGACACAGCATGAATAAACATAAACGTGATCTCAGACAATTCATTCGAGGGGGAAATCATGGGGAAAAGCAACAAATTCCTGTCTAAATTTAATAAGCAGCCGTGTTAATACATTATTTCTGCCACTTGACTCGGAAAGAGCTAGAAGTTCTAAAGGGTTGTGCCTGTGTATGAGGTGAGAAAATGTCTTTCCCTTTGTTTCCCTACTCTGCTGAGCAAGGTGGACGATACTGAAGAGAGTCCTGTTTGCTACTTAAGAGTAGTCTTCATCCTGCCTATTGAGTAGATTTGCTATGCCGATAGAACTATGGTGCTTTTTTATTTTTATTTTTTATTTTTAAAAAAATATATTTTATTGATTTTGTACAGAGAGGAAGGGAGAGAGATAGAGAGTTAGAAACATCAGTGAGAGAGAGTCATCGATCAGCTGCCTCTTGCACACCCCCCACTGGGGATGTGCCCGCAACCAAGGTACATGCCCTTGACCAGAATCGAACCTGGGTCCCTTCAGTCCCTAAGCCGACGCTCTATCCATTGAGCCAAACCGGTCCCAGCACTATGGTGCTTTTTTAAAATGTTGGGCCCTGGGCCCTAATCCGTGGAGATCCTGATCTAACAGCTCAATTGCTTATCATGTGGAGTCGAGTAGTTCCAAATGACTTGTTTTGAAAATTAGTTCCCCGCAACCCTCTCTTGCATTTTCCCGTTATGCTTTCAACTCTTATATAGTTGATTCTCTTGGTATTTATAGTTTATCTCTAACTAGGTGCTTACATTGCTGTTTGTTGACTGCTTAGTTGAGGGCATTATCCGATTGTCACAATGAAAGATGAGGATTTAATTCTTTTTTAATGCTTTCTATGTGCTCCTTCCTCGTTCCAGGCTGCTGCGCACAAACACCTTCTTCCTTTCCTCCTATGCTTACACTGTGGCCAGATAGCAGTTTTGATTGGGTGACTTTTCCCCTTCATCCTCATTTGCAGAGATATCTGGTGCTGCCAGTTCCTCCATGTGTTGAGGATCTAGATGGAAATAGCTTCGCCTCTTGGCTTCCCCCACTGCTTGCTTCGCATACAGCTCCCTCACATTGTGGTTACCACTCAGCCATCTGCTCTGCAGCCTCAGAGTTTATTGCTATTTTTTTCCCCTTTTTTTGTTGTGAGTTATTGTTTTAAAAAATGTTTATAAGCGTTTCATATGCATTATTGGGAGAAGATGAAATGTGTTGTGAATTGTCATCTTTAATTAGGAATTAGACTATGTACTTTCAAATGCTTTTGAGTGATTCTGGTAATCTCATGACCTATATTTTTAAAGGCTGGGAAGATGAAGAGTATTACAAGAAAGAAAAGCTATGCTTGACACAAATTCTGGTAGCCTTTGGTGACATATCTTATAAACAAGGCTGTCCCATTCTTGATGATTCAAGATTAAGTCACTAGATAAGAAAGAGAAAAGATGGCTTAGTTTCTTTATTCAGTTTTCCTCTCATTTTCTAGCTTAAGTGAAAACTCTCACTAAGTAGGAAATTTTCCAACATATAACTTGTGATCCTCTCCCTCCCCCATTTTTGCTTCAGAAATTAATAAGAAAATATTTTGGCCTATTGTTAAGAAGTGCTGAGGTGTAATTCTTTGTTCGACTCTTTGCACTGTGCTTCTTAAACCTTGATGTTGATTTTGTGGCGGCCGTTAACAGTTTTCCTCAGTATCCCTCCTTCAAGATTATCAATATGTCCTTCAGGTTGTCCTAGTGATAGTGATCATGTGTTACATTTCTATTTCAGAAATAGACATGTTTATTTCTGCTAAAATCTTAGAAATACTCTAAAACACCATACTAAAGTTAGGGAAAATAATGTAAGTTTTACCTGTTTCTATCCATAGACCTTCCTGAATATGTTTGTTGACAGCAATCAGGATGCACGGAGAAGATCTGTAAATGAGGACGATAATCCGCCTTCCCCCATAGGAGGAGACCTGATGGATTCTCTAATCTCCCAACTGCCGCCACCTCAGCAACAGGTAAGGTGTAGCTGAAATCCCACACGGCATCACATTCGTTTAATTTAACAGGTTCTATCGGTGTCTGGGCTTCTTTTAAGATTTTTTTTACTTATTTTTAGAGAGGGAGAGGCAAAGGGGGAGAGAAAGAGAGAACATCTGTGTAAGAGGGAAAAGTTGATCAGCCGCCTCCTGCACTTCCCCCACTGGGGATTGAACCCGAAACCTGGGTGTGTGCCCTGACTGGGAATTGAACTGGCAGCCTTTCAGTGCACTGGATGAAGCCCAACTCACTGAGCCACACTGGCTCACTTGTCTTTCTTCTTGAAAGACAAGGAGATGGTTCCCAGATGCCCAGGAAGTGCATATGGAAAAATAGTGACAGTGACGAGGAGGAGGCTTCCAGCGATGGGAAGGGAATGGTACCAGAAGCGGCATTAACCGCAGGCTTGTGCACTCAGTGATGGCAGGTGATGACCGGTGTAATCACCACAGAGTTCGTCCAAATGGCTAGTAAGCACAGGACAGGTATTCAACGTCATGTGGCATCACAGAAATACAAATCAGAAGCGCAGTGAGGTAATGCTCCATGGCCACAATAGAGGCTTTAGAAGGAAAATGATAATCCTTGCCAGTATTTGGTGTTAGGAGCAACTGAAACTCACTTATTCCTGGAGGCCTTAAAAAAGGGTACAACTAGCTTGCCGTGAGGTTTAGCAGCATTCCAGAGAGCTAAAGCTGAACATTATGTAACATATGGCTTAACAATTCTACTCTTAGGTACATATGCAACAGAAATGCATCAAAAAGCCCTAACCCGTTTGCTCAGTGGATAGAGCGTCAGCCTGCGGACTTAAGCGTCCTAGGTTTGATTCTGATCAAGGGCGTGTACCTTGGTTGTGGACACATACCCAGTAGGGGGTATTCAGGAGGCAGAAGATCAATGTGTAAGAGGGAAAAGTTGATCAGCCGCTTCCTGCACTTCCCCCACTGGGAGCTGAGCCCGAAACCTGGGAATGTGCCTGACTGGGAATCGAACTGGCAGCCTTTCAGAAGCCCAACTAACTGAGCCACACTGTTATGTTTCTAACTCTCTATCCCTCTCTCATCAATGTTTCTAACTCTATCCCTCTCCCTTCCTCTTTGTAAAAAATCAAAATATTCTTTAAAAATGCATCAAGAAAACACAAGAACATTTATAGTAACATTATTTATCCAAAAAATTGTAAACAACTCAAATATCTAGCAGCAGTAGCATGAGTAGATAAATTGGGGTATATTTATACAATGGAACACTTTATAGAAATGAGAAAGCAAATTATTGTTTTATGCAGCTACATGATGCATTTCACTGACAGAGTTGAACAAAAGAAGCCAGATGCCATGTATAGACTGAGTATATTCAGTATGTATATGAAATGCAAAACCAAACTGGAGTAATGGAAGTCGAAATAGTGCTTACCTTGGGAGGTGATAAAGACAAGGTGTACAAGGGAGGCCTCGGGGGTTCTGGTCGTCTCTTCAGTATCGGGATCTGTGTAGTAGCACGCTTGCAAAAATCCGTCCGACTTAGGGGGGTGGGGATTGGAATGGGGGGTTGAGGACAAATACGTGATACCTTAATCAATAAAGAAATTTTAAAAAATAATAGATTGTAGACATTGAAAAAAAAATCCATCCAACTGTACTTTTAAGATTTGTGCACTTTACTCTGTGATTTGTTCCTCAATTTTTACAAAAACAGAGCAGAAAGGATTGCATTGTTTTCATTACTGGAGATGAAGGCAAAGGTAAGTAGAGGTCAGGCTGAACTACCATATTTCATTGACTCCAAACTCCACCAAAGGAAAGAAGCGTTATTTTTTTCTGTACTGCCAGTTAAGCTAGGACAGAGAAAAGGAGAGAAAACAATCTTGAGGAATTTAAGCAATGGCATCGAAAGATCAGGAATGCGGATGCTGCTTTTTTGAAAGTCAAGCGGTTTTTGACAACCTGTGTTATTGATGCGCATTTTGTACATTTTCTTGAAGTGTGAAATGGTATTACCGGCACTCCTACTATGGTTGGCCATTTGACAAACATTTCAATTTCTTCTTTTCAGCCATTTCCCAAGCAGCCAGGATCATCAGGCGCTTATCCTCTTACTTCACCTCCTACATCTTACCATAGCACAGTTAGTCCGTCTCCCTCTATGATGCACACACAGTCTCCAGGTAAGGCAGTACTTGCTTTCTTGTCCTGTCACCTTTAAATCGAAAGTACGCGCGCTCTTGCACACACAGAAGCACTGTGCATGTAGCCTCGGACTTCAGAGAGAGCTCCCTTTCTAGTCTGTGGCTACGTGTCTGCCATTCATTCATGGCGGCAGGGTTGTGAAATCCATGTTCATGATTCAAAGCACTGTAAAATGCTTGAAATGAATGTTGGTGTTATCACCCGGAGCCAGGCTCATGGCACAATTCCAAGAAGTGCTAATCTAATCGCATGATCTATGTCAGAATTCTGTTGGCAAACCAGCCTGTGGGCCAGGTCCTGCCCTCCACCTGTGCTGTGGGTAGTTTCGCTGGAATGCAGCCACACCGTTCCTGTGGTGTCCCAGGCCGCTTTCCCACCACGGCGAGCGGCCCTCCCGGAAGGTTTGCCAAGCCCTGGGACTGTGGATGGTCCCCGCACCTCGGAGGTAGGCAGTGCCCAGCCTGCTTGTCCAAGCAAAGTGGCTCTGCGGGCACCCCCAGGAAGGATGCGGTGAAATCACTTGAGGAGGCCAAAGTTTGACTGGTGACCTAACAGTTCATTGGTGTCACTGGAGCTCTGTGCCAAATGCCGCATGGTGCTGAGGACTGACTGGGGGCCAGGGACCAGTCCTGCTCGGGAGCTTACCACCGTGCAAGGAAGACAGGTGTCAGATTTCTGGGGCACGTGATCGCCTGCCCGCCCATCCGAGCTGTCTGGGCCGCAGATGAAGACTTGGAAGTGGTTGTCATGTCACTGAAGCCCAAGTGTGTGGGTGAGCTTAGCCTGAGAAGGAGCAGCCAAGAGAACAAGAAGGAAGACGGGCGACACGGCATGGAACCCAAGGAGGGTTTTTTAAAAATATCTATGTTTATTGGTTTCAGAGAGGACTGGGGAGAGAGAGAGAGAATCATTGACAGGCTGTCTCCTATACGCCCCCTAATGGGGATTGAGCCCACTACCCAGGCATATGCCCTTGGCCAGAATCGAACCTGGGACCCATCAGTCTGCAGGCAAACGCTCTATCCACTGAGCAAACCCGGCTAGGGGAGGAGAGTGTTTTTCTAGGATAGAGTTGAGACTGGTTTTGCATATAAGGTAGGAGAAATGATTATTTTGAAATAACGATAATAGCAGACAGGAATAGATAGTACTTAGTCTGTGCCAAGCCCCATTCTAAGCACCTTACCCTGTAATCACTGTCCAGGACACACAGCTAAATAAGTAAAATAACAGAGGTTAAGCAAGTTGATCAACGTGTCTATTGAAAGTAAGGCATTGCACCAGGTATTACAGGACATGGACATGTGAAATTCTCTTACACAGACGTAGAGAATTTGAAACTTGATGATATTGAGGATAGTTATGTAAAGTAGCAGGTATTTTAGTGTTGCATTTATTCACAGTTTTGGTGGCCATAGTCCCCCTTTGGTAATTCTAAGTTAAAACTAGCCCTGTAGCTAAATACCATCTTTAAGCTCATGTCTCCCATTTTCTCGTATTTCCTATCTAGGCTCACCCTGGAATTCAAGTCCTGTATTTCCAGCTGTCTATTCAACATTTCCATTTAGCTGTCTAGTCAACATCTGAAACTCACCAACCACCCCTCCTACCCACCCCAAATTGCTCCTCCCACAAGCTCCCCTCTCAGGAAATGGCAGCCCCTTCCTTCCTGCTGCTTGGACCAAAGCTGTTAGAGCCATGTTGGAGTCCTCTTCCTCTCACCCCCACATTCAGCCAGTTACCGAATGCAGCCAGCTCTGTCTTTAGGATTTACCCAGAATCTAACCACTTACCACCATGGCAGCCTGTGCCCTCGCCCAGGTCAGTAGCCACCTCTCATCTGGAGGACCGCACTGACCGGTTGCGCTGGCCTTGGCCCTGCCCTATAGTCTTTTTCACACGGCAGCCAGACGGATCCTTCTGGAACAGAAGTTAGTTCATGACTCCTCAGCTGCAGACTGCAGTGGCTTCCAGTTCATTCAGGGTAAACCCTGAGTCCTTTGAGTGGCCTACAAGTCCCAGCGTGATTTAGGACCACCCCTGCCTCTCTGGCTTCATATCCCATTCTCCCCCCCCTCCCCACGCTGTTCCAGCACACTGGCCTCTTCCCTGTTATTTATAACTGGCTGCCTTTAGAGCCTTTGCACCAGATGTTTGCTGGAATACCTCAAGCCCTGTACACCTCATGCCTTTCCTTCACTTCCTTTGTTCTCGGCTCAGTCTTCTCTGGTGGCTTTACGTAAAGACAGCACCACCTCCACCTGTGTTTCCCCGTAGCTCTCACCACTCCCTGCCTGACCTGTATCTGTAGTCTTTCACATTCTACTAGCATATAAGTTTCATGACGACAGGAATTTTTATATCTTGCTAGCTGCTAATCCCCAATGCGTACCGCGCACAGTGCTAGGCATGAAATTGACGTTCAGGCCTGATTGGTGAATAAAGAGTACATTGGATTCTTTTTTTAATATTAGCCAATGTAAGAGCTGGAATTTGGGCCTCTCTCTTTTTTTGTTTATTTTTTGTTTTGTTTTTTTCCATAATGAAAGTTCTAGTTTTCCTGTGCGCTACTTCAGGGAGCTTTACCACTTACTTCTTTAGTCTATAGAGTCTTAACTTGGGATCCTTGGGCAGGACATCCTATGTGTCCTGCAAGATCATCTATAATTATTTTCGTTTATTAGGAAATCTGCATGCTGCCAGCTCCCCCAGTGGGGCTTTGAGAGCCCCGTCACCAGCGTCATTTGTTCCAACTCCTCCCCCCTCCTCGCATGGACTCTCTATAGGACCAGGGGCCAGCTTTGCTAGTCCACATGGTGAGTCCGTACCTGGAAACCGCCGGAGCACGAGAGTTTGCCGTGGAAGTAGTTTTTGTTCCAAATAAATTATTTTCTTTTTGCAAAACGAGCGCTTGTTTATGGGGGAAATAGCAAAAGAAAATAAATTTTTCCTCGCCTCACCATGCAGAGACCTACCAGTTTTGTCTGCTTTGGACTCTCTCCCTCTCCCTTCCGGTCACACGCCCCTGCTTGCCTGCCTGCTCGAGTCTCTTGCTTGCTCTCTACCCATCCATCTTCTTGTCTCCCGCCTCAAACATATCCCCCACACACCCCCCAAAATTGGGACCCTCCCCTTTATGTTATGCTGAGACAACTTTTTTCACTAATTAATTCAGAAGTCCTATTTCAGATTGGTTCAAATCCATAAAGAATAGAAGAAGTAGCCAGTGAGTGTTTCCTTTGTTCCACGAGCCACCTAGTTCCTCCTCCCACGGGCATTTAGCTGGTGTCACTCATTTCCTCTTGTTCTCGCAGAGATGTTTTATGCATACACAAGCAAAAGCTGGTTTTACGCACATGGCAGACAGCACAGTTCCTTACTTTTTTCACTTAAATATGTCATGACTACCATTCCTCAGATTTGACAGCTGTGTAGCACTGGAGATTTTTTTACTCTTTACTATTAATATTTGCGGCCACATTTCTGGCAGTAAGAACTCTACATTGTCATACTAAATGGCTTCATAGTATTCCCTTATCTGGGCATACCATATTTAACTGCTCTCCTACTATGATATGTTTAGAATGTTTCCATTTTCTCACAAGTAAAAGTAGTGTCTTGTCTGCTCGCATGATTATTTCCTTAGGTAAGTTCCTAGAAGTGGAATTGCTGCTTGAGGGTTTGAGAAATTCTAAAGCTTTTAAAACATGTTACCCATTTCCTCTAGTATCATACTAGAATGTCTGTTTTCCTGCATCATTGCCAACACAGGGTATTACAATTTTTTAAAACCTTGGTTATTTAGATAGGTAAAAAATGGTACCTATTGCTTAATGTGTGCTGCTTATTTTATGTGTGCCTGCTTATATGCTTTTCCTGTGTTCTTATGTTAGTTTTTATCACTCCGTAAGACTTGTAAGTGAGGACCATTTGTTCTCTGATAGTTGGTAGAAGTATTTTTTTCAGTTTGTCATTTGGTTCCAAAGTGGTGTAACCCTGCAGGGTGAATTGAAATACCAAATTTCCAGGAAGTCGCTGCTTTCAAAACATTATTCTTTGGTTCATTTCTTAGTCCACGTCACCTTTACTAAATAAAGAAAATGGAAAATTTCCCTCTCCTCAGCCTCCTCTGAGTAGAATGAAAACAATCTGTCAGGGTTAGTTTGAAAATGTAAAATTTCTTTCCTTAAGGGAGCTTTGAGATTTTTTGCTTAATATTTTCAAACCTATCAAAGATTGTTCTGTGCTATAAATTGTTATATATTCTACATCTTGAAGTTCACATGAAGGTAAATTTTATTCTTTCTCCGTCTTTTTATCTAATTTTTATATCATTAAAAAGTACACGAACCACACAAAATATTCAGATGTGCCGTGTTAAGAAGCATCATGCTTCAGTGAAACACTACCCTGAAAGAGAAAATAAAATGATCAGCATGTAAAGCGCAAGCACCTAAATGCTGTCCAGTGCTTTTCAGATGTTAAAATGCAGACTTTGCAAACCATTTATTTACTTGTCTCCAGGAGCCCTGGACCCCAGTTCTCCGTACACTATGGTGTCACCAAGTGGGCGAGCAGGGAACTGGCCAGGCTCTCCTCAAGTGTCTGGCCCCTCACCAGCAACACGGTTACCTGGGATATCACCAGCCAACCCATCACTACACTCTCCAGTTCCAGACGCTTCTCATTCCCCTCGAGCTGGGACAAGTGAGTGCAATCAACACGGTTACGTCTGCTTTCAGTGTAACCAACCAGTGGCCTATTTTATTCCACCCTCACATTTGAAGATCATGACCTGCTTGTTGAAGGAGTCACTTAATAGCTTCAGCCTTTGTCCATTTAGTAAACTGGTGGTAATACTAGTTCATTGCCCAAGTCAGACATAATGCAAGAAAGGGAACTGTCTCTTCCAGAAGTTTTTTGAGTTGAGACCCCAGTGCCTCTGTTATGACTGCTATGCTAGCTACAATACTAGACCTTAAAAAGATCCTAAAGGCATCTGACAAGATTATGCAGTTTAACACAGAAGAGAAGAATTGTGCAAAATGCTAGCTAGCTTTTGCTACTTGACTTTGAGTGACTGAAAACAGCAGTCCTCTTTGCTCCCCGTTCTGCAGTGTGGCAGTCCGGGCTGAGGCCAGCTGGGTAGTTCTCCCAGGCTCTGCTGGGCTCACTCCTGCCTCTGTAGTCAGCTCCTGGGTTGGCTGGGCTTAGCTGATTTAAGGTGACCCCAGCGACACGGCTTCTCTCTGCTCCAGATGGTCTCATACTTGACCATACTTGACCTGGTGGCTGGACAGGGTGCTCCAAGAGTGAACGAAAGCCTAGGCTTGTAAGCAGCACTGCCTCACTGGCCACAGCAAGTCACAGAGCCAACCCAGAATCCAGGTGGAGCCACACACTCCACTTCTTGATGCAGTTGCTGCAAAGTCTCATGGCAGGGACTACCTGGCCACAGGAAGAACTGTGGCCATTTTTGCAAACAGGAAGCTCGTATATGATTGCTACACTACAAGGAATGATTCAGCAGTTCTGATTGCTATAGAATAGCAAAGATCCCTACCAAGAACAAAGCAGGGAGCAATGAGATAATGTGCCTTTATAAGTGAAATGCTTTTTCCTTCCCAAAAGGTTCCCAAACGATGCCAACCAACATGCCCCCACCTCGCAAACTACCTCAGCGCTCCTGGGCAGCCTCCATACCCACCATCCTCACTCACAGTGCCTTGAACATTTTACTGCTGCCCTCCCCGACGCCAGGCCTCGTGCCTGGCCTGGCTGGTAGTTACCTGTGTTCTCCGCTTGAAAGATTCCTGGGATCGGTCATCATGAGAAGGCACCTTCAAAGAATCATCCAGCAGGAAACGGTATGGCCACCTAGAGGACTAACTCCTAAGTGGGGATTGTCCAAGGCAGGTGCCCGTTCCCCTCAGAATAGGATCGGAACTAAAGTGACATCCCCTCCCTCCTTTAACCGGCTGGTTAGAGTTCCGCTTTGCACGGTTTTCTTTTCCCTTCTAACACACTCCTTCCTTTTACAACTTGCCCTGCTGTGGCTCCCATGGACCCAGAGGCAGGTCTGCTCAGTGCTGTAGGACACGTGTGCTCGGGTCTGGCTTTGCAGAGAGCAGCTTAAGAGTGGCTCCTTTGAACCGGAGCCCATTGAAAAAACTGACTTGAGATCACAGGGGCGAAAGCTATTTTTCAAATACACGAGCCATTGAATGGATGTAAAGCCCTGACCCAAAAGGCCTCCTAACCTGTCCTTTGGCGATGCCCTCGGGAGACGGCTCAGAGCTGAGAGCACCCGTTCCCAGTTCAGCTGCCTGGGTTTGTGGCCAGGCCAAGCCACCTGCTGGCAGGAGCATGGCTAGTTCCTCACCTTTCTGGTGATAGTAGGTAATGGTATCTGCCTAACGCAGAACAGTTGTGGGAATCGGAGATATTTCATAAAAAGCTCATAGCATGATGTCTTGGTGTTCAGTACACATTAGTTACTTGTAATTATTATTGTTAATGAGGTGGTCGTCAGAATGGTGAATGTTGAAAATATCCACTCAACGGGTGGCACCACGCTATTTTGCAGCCTTTATATTCAGATTTGAAAAAGATAAAGGTCTTAACATAAGCTGAATAAATTAGCATTTAAAATGGTAATCATCAGACCTGTGATCAAGGCTCACCTCTGCCACTTAGAAGCCATGTAAGTGTTCAGCTCTTTAAAATTCGTGCTCGTTTGTGAAATCAACATATTAGTCTAGAGCAGAGGTCAGTCAACTATGGGCCTGCAGGCAAGTCCTGCCCACCACCTTTTTTTTTGTGCAAATAAAGGTTTGTGAGAACACAGCCACGCCCACTCAATATATACCATCTACGTCTGCTTTCAGCTGCAGTGGCGTCATTGAGTGATGGTAACAGAGACCATATAGCCTAAAATATTTACTCACCCCTGGGCTGTCAGAGGCCCCAATCTGAATCTATCTCCTCTCCCCCCCCCCCCCCCCCCAAAAAAAAGTAGAGAGTTGGATAATGAACCTGTCTTTTCTCATCACCCGCCTTCAACAGTGAACTCATAGCAATATTGTTTCACTTAAGGATCCCCCAGATGGTGTGATAGCAAACTGCAGACATCATTTCATCCAAACAGTTTCTTTATTATCAAATATGGTTGGTGTCCAGATTTCTTTCCCAAGTTATCACTCTTTTTGCAGTTTGAATCCGAACCCAAACTAGTTTTGTTTGTTTTAATGTGTTTTTTATTTTTTTTCAGAGAGAGAGGAAGGGAAAGGGAGAGATAGAAACATTAATGAGAGAAAAACATTGATCAGCTGCCTCCAGCACACCCCCTACTGGGGGTTGAGCCCACAACGTGAGCATGTGCCCTGACTAGGAATCAAACCGGCAACTTCTTGGTGCATGGGATAATGCTCAACCAACTGAGCCACACCGGCTGGGCCCCAAACTATTTTTTTTTTTAAATATATTTTATTGATTTTGTACAGAGAGGAAGGGAGAGAGATACAGAGTTAGAAACATCGATGAGAGAGAGTCATCGATCAGCTGCCTCTTGCACACCCCCTACTGGGGATATGCCCGCAACCAAGGTACATGCCCTTGACCGGAATCGAACCCGGGACTCTTCAGTCCCCAAGCCGACGCTCTATCCATTGAGCCAAACCGTTCTCGGCCCAAACTACTTTTTAAGTCCCTTTCAAACTGTAGGTTTCCCTTCCATTTCTTCTTACATAACTTATTTGTTGAAGAAACCATATCATTGTCCTATAGAGTTTCTCAGTCTGGATTTTGCTGATTGCATCATTTTAGAATCATTTAACATGTTCTTTTGACCCCTATAGATCTATAATATGTATCAACCCTGTAGATCTAACTGCTGAATTCAGCCTCAAGTTGGTTCTTGTTTTGCAAGAATATTTCATAGGTGGTATTACGCTCTTCCATCGAGACACATGATGCTTGACCGCCTCTCTGGGGTGGAGGTCGCAGTTAGGTGCTCCGAGCCTAGACACCTCTGTTTTGGAATAGGTGTCAACTGAGTTGTTTTCCTTTTGGAACAGGAAACAGTTCCCTGGGCAGCATTTCGTTTTCTCTTTGTTCTTACATGCTGTCTTTTTTCCCCTTTACATATTGTCTTGCATGCTAATTTGACGCACCCTTGTTTTGCAGCTACAGCTGATAAATTCCAACGAACCTGGGGTGATCATGTTTAAGACGGACGCGCTGAAATGCAGAGTAGCCCTTAGTCCCCAAACCAACCAAACGCTTCAGCTGAAAGTAACCCCCGAGAACGCAGGACAGTGGAAGCCGGACGAACTTCAAGTTTTAGAGAAATTCTTTGAAACAAGAGTAGGTGTTTATGAATGCATCGTTTCAGTGTAATCAGCGAACAGAAGAGTCAAGGTGAAATGAAGAGTAATCTGCTGTATCTATCCCTACAGGTAGCCGGGCCGCCATTCAAAGCCAATACATTAATAGCCTTCACCAAGCTGCTAGGCGCTCCTACGCACATCCTCAGAGACTGTGTGCATATCATGAAACTGGAGCTGGTAAGTCACAGAAACACCACCCGTCTCAGCCGGCTGTTTGGCGCGGTTGCATTTGGTGGGAGCAGGGTTATTGGTTTTTACCCGTTTAGGCAGGCACTTTTATTTTCCTTATATTCTTCTTCATTTCTCACTTACATTTTATGTTTTGAATAGGCAACACAGTCCTCCTCTTGCATCTTTTGAATTTAGGACAAGGTGATTCAGTGGGCAATTTCCCGTCCACCCCTGTCCAGCCGTCTAGACCTTCCCTCAGGCATCCCAAGTTACCGGTGGCTTCTCTCTTATAAAAGCAAACATATTTAATACCCCGTTCCTACTCCTGGATAATGAAGTAACCCTCCCATGGTTTCTTCTCATACTGTTTGGACCCGTTTTTTAAATTACTCATTTAAATTTTGGGTCCATTTTAAATATGTCTTTGTGTCAGGTGTGAGGTATGGCTCTCTGTTCTTCAGATGCCCCTAATTGCCCTAATACCATTTATCAAAAAGTCTGTCTTCCCTGGGAGATTTTTTAATTTCACTTCCTTTCTATAAAACTAAACAATTATATCAGTGGCATCCAGGTGGCAGCCGATGACATTTTTCCAACCTTACAGTAGTCCTTTCATTTTAACGTTTCTAGGATTGCTTTGGGTGATTCCAAACACCTCACTTTTTTCCGTTGATATTTTAATATCGGGACAGCATGGCTTCTGCTCTGATGGGCTGTAGTTGACATTATTTATGCCAACAAGATATCCATCTGAGTTTTTAAAGGAGTAAATCTTTCTGTGGCTACAAAAGCATCCGTGGATATAATTGAAAGTTATTAACACAGTGTGTCTAGTTTAAGTCTGGGTTGGCACCAGTTAAGAAGGGCCTTGGATGCCAGCTGTTGATCCTTGGAGGGAGTGGGAGACAGCATGTGTCACTGCCTGTCACTGAGCATTGTGAGCTAGAATAGAACCACCCTCCAGAACACTTGGCAGTGCTGCACAGGTGGACGGGGAGGGGCGGCCCCCGGATGGCACCATTAGGGGACCACAGGGAAGTGCCAAAGCCCTGGGCTGGCATCAGTGAGAACAGAGAAGGGGGCAGTGCCAGAGACCCCGAGGAAGCAGGACCCGTGGGAATTGATGTAGCGAGTGGGGAGGAGAGGAACATACCGCTGGATCCTTAATGGCCTTTTCCATTAGTAACTTGATGTATATCTATTTTTTTTTTAAACATGCAGGTTATCAGCTTAGTTTTGTTGAGTATAAAAGAACCTTCTGCTTTAGCTTTCTAGACTCTAATGTTCATAGGACTTTGTCTTGATTTTTGATTTTTTTCCGAACAGTTTCCTGACCAGGCAACGCAGCTAAAGTGGAACGTTCAGTTTTGCCTGACGATCCCTCCCAGCGCCCCGCCCATCGCACCTCCTGGGACGCCTGCTGTGGTGCTGAAATCCAAAATGCTCTTTTTTGTGAGTACCCGCTGGGTGTGTGCGCACAGCCTCTGGAGGAAGCCGTGTGGGATGGGGCCGCAGCTTGTGGCTAAGTGCACACATGATCCGTCGCTGCCAAATATAGGTCCAGATTCCTCGTCAGCTTAGACTCGTGTGGCCCTGGTTCCTTTAGTGCCGTGGTCGGCAAACCGCGGCTCGCGAGCCACATGCGGCTCTTTGGCCCCTTGAATGTGGCTCTTCCACAAAATACCACGGCCTGGGCGAGTCCATGTTGAAGAAGTGACGTAAGGAGAAGTTTAAGCGTAAAATATTTGGCTCTCAAAAGAAATGTCAGTCGTCGTACTATTGATACTTGGCTCTGTGGACTAATGAGTTTGCCGACCACTGCTTTAGTGATAACAGAAGGTTATTGAACTCGGTCGTTGTGGGACAGTTGCATGTTAATCATACCTGTTTGTCCTTGTCATATTTAATTTTCTTTGCTTCACATATCTTAATCTGACAGTAAAGGATAGTACCTTTGGTAAATCTTAGTCAAACGTTTTCCTTACTTACTGTGTTTTCCTTCTCTGCGTGTGTTTTGTGTCTGCAGCTTCAACTAACCCAGAAGACGTCGGTCCCTCCCCAAGAACCTGTTAGTATAATAGTTCCCATCATTTATGACATGGCTTCAGGCACCACCCAGCAGGCAGACATTCCCAGGCAGCAGAACTCTTCTGTTGCTGCGCCCATGATGGTCAGCAACATTCTGAAGAGGTTTGCAGAGATGAACCCACCGCGACAAGGTACATGACCCGTAGCTCTTTTGTTGCCTATGTGTTCTTGCCAGAGATCCCCTTCTCCCGCTGCTCCCCGCCCCCGCCCCGCCAGCCCTAGTCCTAGAGCTCCGGTGCTGTGGCCTCTCGGTGTCTGCTGTCGCTTTCCTCTGTTCTCACTGGTTCTTTGTTGTCGTCCATGTCTCTGCTGCCTGGACTTCATTTCCGCTAGTGATTTACTGTTGGGACCGACCCAGTTGCTAATGCCAGAAGCTTGTATTTATGGCACACAGTGCCACAGTGCCCCAGGTTAGGCTGCTAGAACTTTCCATGGATGTGAATCCCTGCCCTGCCATCGATACCCGCCACTCTGTACATCACCGAGTTGAAATGCATGTTGCTTTCTCATATTTAATGGTTCAGTCATGAAGAGAATACTATCATTCAAAGCTCTGTATCTTCTCAATGTTTTGTGAAGAATAAAGGCTGATACAAATGGCATCGCTGCTTTTTGGGCTCCTTATGTAAGTTCAGGTGGGTGTAAGTGCACCTTTTCACCAAATGCACAATGAAGCTCTCAAGGTGAGCACTATCAAGGAAACCAGAATGTTCTGGCAAGATAAACAAGGTCTGGTCAGTACCGTTGCAGCCTATGCTAACACACGACTCCTGGCAGTGCGAAAGCCTGGGTGACAAAGCCAAGCTCAGAACTTGCTTCCCTTTCGCTTATTTCTAATGTGAAGGGAGTCTGCCATCTTTCTGCTGAGAAGAGTATGACAAAGGAATTAGGTTTTTAAATGAGGGAAAGTTGTTCTCTGAAACATTTTTATGTACCACAGTGTGAACATTTTACTAGTAACAGGAATCCTGGGAGAAATGATTTATTTTCAGCTGTTTGTTTCCCCATATTGTGTACAAGGCCAAGTTCTCACTCTAGTACAGCTGCTGAGAAATGCACTGGGCAGTAGAGAAGGGTATGCTGCTTTTGTTGTCAAACTTCTTCCACTTCTTATAATTTTCTGCTTTCGTCCTTTGACTTCTTTCTTCTTTCAGCTAAAGAGTAGGTCCTTAAGAATCAAAGCTTAAAGCTACCAATTTTCCAAGTAGTAGTCCAGGAGAACTCTGATAATAAACACCTTTCTCTCGTAAGCAGAGGGCTATCATTATGTCTTGTGGAATTTAAAGTTGAAAGGAAAGAATGTTTTGATCCTATTGCCATCAAGCAAGTTTTTCTGCCTATCATTAATGAAAATGTGTTTTTAGAAAAAGATGTAACGTCTTTGAATTAATAAATGGTTGGGCTATTTTGAAATTGTTTTTCTTTCATGTCTACCTTAGACAGCTTATACCTTTGCAGTTCATTTTCTTTCTGTACCTGCATTTGCCAGCGGTAGGTGAGAGGGTGCGGTGACTTGCACAGGGTCTCTGCGCTCTGCCCTCTGCTGGAAGGCCATTACTCAGTTGAGGTCTTCAGTTCTCAATTCAGCCACTGTAGCGTTAGGCTGTGCTGGTTTACAATATTAACGGCTGGTCTTGGGTTATTATATTGACATATTTGTAATATTTACAAGAAGGAAGAGGCAGGGTGTTTGGAGGGTGTTTGGTTTCTTCGAGCAAAGGCGACAGTGAGAGGATGAATCGTCAGCCTCACCCAACGTGTCTTGCTTTGGGATGCTGCTGGCCACATCCAGCCTTCCTCCCGCCTGCCAAGCCATCACTTCCTCCCCGTGGTGGCGAAAGTGCTTTTAAGAAAAACCACCTTTTTTTTGTCTTAATTGATTTTAATGCTGAACTCAAGAAGTTGAGAGAAAACTCTAAAAGATGTCATAGAACTGTACTGTCCAATTTAACTGTCACTGCTGCATGTGGCTATTTAATTTTAATTCAATTTAAATTTAATTTAAAATTCTGTCCCTCGGTCACCCTAACTACATTGCAGGTGCTGCTTGGTAGCCACAGTGCACAGATAGAATATGTCCATCTTCCCAGAAAGTTCTATTGGACGGTGCTGTCACAGATATTTTACCTGATCTTTTTATAAAAATACATTTTTATTGATTTGAGAGAGGAAGGGACAGGGAGAGAGAGATAGAAACATCAGTGATGAGAGGAAATCATGGCTCAGCTGCCTCCTGCACCCCTTCACTGGGGATCGAGCCCACAACCTGGGCCTGTGCCCTGACCATGAATTGAACCGTGGTTCATAGGTCAATGCTCACCCCCTGAGCCATTCAGGCCGGGCTGTAGATCTTTTCATTACATTCAGAATGCACAAGCCAGTTGTCAGCAGCCTTGAAGCCCAACTTCAGAGGTTTAGCTAGTGCTCCTTCTCCGGTGTTCCTGTAAACTCTAGGCATCTTCTTAAATTCAAACCTAAATGGGGCTTGCCCAAAATTTCCTCATAAGAAAAAACAAAATCCAAATGAAATCAGTATCTGATACTCAACACCAGTTTAATCCCCTGTAACCTGTGCAGTTAAAATTTATTCTTTTATTTTGATCCTTAAAGTTCTTGCTAATTTTAGATTTAACTGCCCCTACCCCACCGGTGTGTTGACATCATCTTTCCTGTATTGCGAATAGCTAATGACCATTTTTCTCTGTTGCAGGTGAATGCACAATATTTGCAGCTGTTCGTGATTTAATGGCTAATCTTACACTGCCCCCTGGTGGGCGTCCATAGACACTATTGTTTTTAAACCAGGAAGGCTGACAAATGAGACAAAACAACACAAAAAAAGTCTGAATTCAGCCTTCAGTTTAAAAAAGGAAAAGGACTTTTTTTTTACTTTGAGCTAAATATTCTAAACTTGCAAAAATTTTCAGGGTGCACTTCATCAAACCATCAATCTTTTGTATAGTGAACTTGTAAAGTGTGTTTAAATGGGACACGTTTCAAACTAGGTAAATACATCAGTGTCTCGCTTGCCAATCTTAGATTTAATATTCTGTTTTATACTATAAAGTTACGGAAATGCCAAACTTGTTTATTTAATTGTTTTCCTATGTTTTGGGTGTAATAGTCCTTTTTTGGTTTTTGTTTTGTTTTTTTAAGGCAGGTCTGTCGTTTTGAATACTGTAAAACTGTGATAAACTTTATATGAAGCTGTATTTTAATATGACCACTTTGAATCCTTACATAAATATGTTCTGGGAGCTGTTATTAAAAAAAAAAAAAAAAAAAACATCCCAAAGAAGCAATATTTAATAAAACTAGAGGTTTAAAAAAAAAACAAAAACAGTGACACTCACTCGTGTGTATATATCAGTCCTATAGACCTCTCAGGCCTCCTTCATCTTCAGCCTGGTGGGCCAGTAACTAATCTCTAATAATACGTGATGAAAATGTGACCAAAAACATCGACTTCTTTGTTTCAAGTTTATTTTCTTCAAGCATTCCTACATTGACCGTGGCCAACACTTAGCCCCTTGGTTGTCTTTCAGTGTAGGATTTTGGCAAAAGCAAGAACCCGGTCTTTGAGAAGAGACAGTGAGCACTTCACGTTAACCAAGGCTCTCGAATGCTACAGTGTTCCGGTCTGTTGAGGATGCGGGAACTTTCCCGTTAGGCAAATTTAGTTTCCAGGAGTCTCTGCGCACAGCATTCAGTAGGAAACAGAAGTTGAATGCTCTGCCTTTGCATGAAATTTCTGCGGGGGATCCTTATCTTGCTTAAGCTCCCCAGCAAAGTTGGGGTTATTCAAACAATCCCTGTTTGATTCATTGCCTACAAAATGGTCAAATGATTTGCTTGGAAGAAACCTGGTCCAGTCCCCTCCCTTTGAAGAACCTAAGGTCACTTCTCAGCAGCGTTTCCTTTGGGGGCACTGCGCTGTGTCTGCCAATCAGTCAGGGACTTTGATAAGCTTGAAAGAAGGCCGTCGGAAGCAAAGGTCTTCTGGTGACTTGATGCTGTTTGAGGAAGTTTTATGAATGACTTCATGCCGAGTAATCTTGTCACTGTAATGTTGGTTCTCCATGAAATTGCAGATGCTTTGTCTAATTCCCTTTTAGATTATTTAATTGTGCTTCTGTAACTGTCTACTACCAAACTCTAATTTCAAGCATCTCACCGCAGCTGTAGCCTGTCTGTTCTCAACTTTGCTTGGTTCTGTCTTTCTTTCTGGTCAGCGCTGGGGCCTTCTTTGCCTTTCTTCTGTCTTCTTCTGCCTTCATCCCCTGCCTCCTGCCCAACTCTGCCACTACTCAGGAGCAGGTGACTAAACTTCTACCCTTTCTTTAACTTACCTTTGTCCTTCCATTTCCAGTTCTCCTCGCGGTGGTAATCACATCTGTCTGTCAGTCTAACGTATCTTTATCAAGGGCCAGTCCTTTTCTGTTTGGAGCGGAATCCTCTCTTTCATGTAGAAGCCTACATGTATATACAACAAATGTATTTTTATCTACAGGATAATACTGCCTCAAATAATTATGAACCAAGTTGACTTTCTAGGTGTGTGCCCTCTGAAGTATGATTGGTTTTGAACTGTTAATTGCATTTTAAACATGATGCATTCAGTGGACACTTTTTTCCTAATTATGACTCCTTTCTGAATGCATTGTGCAGATGAAAAGGAAAATAGGACTCAGTGAACAAAACTTGTATTTTGATGCTTATTTAAGAGTACATTGGTGAATTTGAATTTTGATATTATACTTGATACTTGGAATTGGAATATACTTTATTAAAGCTTGGAAACACTAGTATTTGAATTTTAGGCTTCATCACAAACCATGTCTTTTGCCTCTTTTGTTACCTAGTTTCCACCAAAGGGATTGGATGCCCATAGAGATTTTTTCTACTAGAGGGTTTGGGTCTTCACTTTAAGACGTTTTCAATGTGGGTTTAGTAATAAATAAAATTTACACAAGTTTCAGAGAACTACCAACTCTCAGTAGTTAATTTTCATGGAGATTTAGTGTTAGTTTAACCTTGAAAGAAGAAATTGGTTCTGATTTGCCACCTTTTTTGTATCTACTGAAATGCCATTTCAGAATGTATAGAAGTACTTTCAGAATTAGGAAAAAAGTGAAAACTTCAACAGAACATATCAAGTTAATGGGCTGAAATTAACTTTCTGAGTGAGTTATGTATAGGTGTAAACTAAAATATATATGATTGTGAATTTGAATACCACTAATAACTTTACTTTGTTGCAGTTCACACTGTAACCTGTCCACAGGATACTAATAGTTTGTTAGTCATTCTTTGGACTGTGATTAATTTTATAACTTCAAGAAGCATAATTTTGTTACTCTAAATTCAGATCCAATTTCATCATAAAAAGTTGTTTCCTTAATGATTTCCCCCCAAAGAAATATCTATTACATTTTGCTTTAATATTATTACTTAAGTGTGTGTGTGTTGTGTTTTTTTTGGGGGGAGGGTTGGTTGTTTTTTAAGAGAGAGGAGGGGAAAAGGAGAAAGAGATAGAAATATTAATGAGAGGGAAACATCAATTGGCTATCTCCTGCTTGTCCGGGTTTGGCGTCCTGTCCAGGAGTGGGACTGGTGACCTCTCAGTGCATGGGACCACGCTCAGCCACGGAGCCGCACCAGCTGGGCTGCCCAAGTGTTATCACAGTACTCACTCACTGTACCAAAAATCTTAAGAAAACTTACAGGGACAAAAAGAGAAAATAATGTGTATTTCATTGTTTCTTGGGGAATTTTCTTTTTCATTTGGTTTGATGGGAATGGACAGTGTGTCTTAGGGGAATGATTTGAAATTTACTTGGATAGCTTTGAGGTCAATAAAAAATGAGCAGAGGCCAACCAGCATTGTACTACACAACTCCAGGAAGCCATGATCTGACAGTTTTCTGTAAATGGCCTTCGCTTCCAAGTGGCTGCGATTTGTTAATACCTTGCCCAGGGATATGATTGATTGATGAAAGGGCACATTTGGGTTAATATAAAACAATAGCTAATATTTACTGAGAGCTTACTATTGCCAGACACCATTCTAAGTATGTCAGTGTGTATTTAACCCTCACAACAATCCAAATGGGGTAGGCATTAATATCTTCCTTTTATAGATGAGTAAACTGAGGTCTAGAGAAATGTAACTGATGAGATCAAATTTACAACTGCTTAAGATCAAACAGCTAAGTGGAGGCAATTTGAGTCCAGATCTATTTCTCTGAAATAGAGTCAAGGACAGGCTCCAATGTTTAGACTCTCCCCTCTGAGCCTTTTGGCGATACACAGTTTTAACTTGCTTCTCAAGCTCAAGAAGTGCACGAAACCTAACTACAACTGAGATCACCTCTTGTCATTCAGAGCTGACAATTCATTTGCCTTCTGACCCTCTGGCACACTTATCTGGAACTTAGACTCCCTTGTGGAGGACACTAGTTATCATATAATCTAGAGTACACAATAATCAAGCTCAAAGCCTCAGCGCCAAAGAAGAAACCCTTATGTGGCTCGGAGTGTGGGCCTTCCAGAATCCACCCTCCAAACCCAGGTGATGTGTTGTCCACTTTGCCTCTCCTTGGTGGCCCAAAGGTGTCACCTTGGCACAAGGCAAACCGGTAATAGGTGCGTGGTGCAGGCTACCGCCTTCACATTTCGCTAGTTCCCGGGTTTGGTACACCCAATCTGTGGGTTTAGGAACCAGGCAAGGCAGCTTAGTTGTATAACGCTAGGAACATTCAAGAAGTGTGCCTCCAGCGCCTTCGGCACCTCTACAAGAAGACAGGAAGGGGCACGGACATCGGAGGGGAAGGAGAATTCGGGGCTGGCGGGGTCTCGGTTTGGGGGAACAGTTTCAGGTAGACACGCTGGGTAAAGCGTGGGCCCTTTAAGACGGGTGCGGCCGACTTTCCTGGGAGCCGGAACGCCCCGCCTACAGGCCCGCGCGCCGTGCTGACGCGCCCTGCACGTGGGGCGGGGCCACGCCCACCTCGCGCGCCGCTTCCGGCTCTGTCTAGGGTTCCGCGCCTGCGCACTGCCGCCCGCCCCGCCCCTGTGGCCGCGGCCGGAGCGGGAGATGGTGCTGTCGGAGTTGGCCGTTCGCCTCAACTGCGCCGAGTACAAGAACTGGGTGAAGGCGGGCCACTGCCTGCTGCTGCTGCGCCGCTGCCTGCAGGGCTTCGTGGGCCGGGAGATGCTGGCCTTCCACCGCCGCCTGCTCGCTTGCGCCCCGGGCCTGGGCCCTGGCGCCACCTGCGGCTCCAGGTGCTGCCCGCGCGGCCGCCAGGTGAGCATCCGGGGCCTTGACCATTGAGTCCTCCCTCCCCCCCCCCCCCTCGCCCCATCCCCTTGCCCGTCCCGCCCCCGTTTCGAGCTGTGTCCCCGGGCCCTCCCTGCGGGGCTCAGATGCCCAAACGCCTCTCCCTGCAGTTCCAGCCTCAGTGTCCGCTGTGCGCGGCGTGGAAACGGGAGATCCTGACACATCACACCAACAGGACCGGGGACGTGCACTGGGGCAACTGCCGGCCGGGCCGCTGGCCCGCGGACGCCTGGGAGGTGGCCAAGGTGAGCAGCTGCGGCCTGTGGGCCGGGCGCGGTGGCACCGCGGGCGGGAGCCGCCCGGCCCGCACCTCATCCGCAGCCCCGGGCCTCAGGCTGGCGCCGGCGGCCCCGGGAGGCTTGCTGCTGCCTGTCCGCGGCCTGGGGCACGGGAGTGGCTGCTCCTGCCTGCAAAGCCGGGGCCGATCTGCCCGGGAGACGCGGGGACAGGATGGAGCGGGGTCCCGGGCACAGGCCCCGGGGCCGCATGGAGTGCGGTGTGGAGGGGGAGCTGCTCCGCTCCTCAGCCCGGTTCTCCTGTCCCCCGAGGACGGCGAAGTGAGCCAAGGCGGAACGGGCTCCAGCACCGCGGCCTCCTGCCGTCTAAGGAGGGAAGGAGCGGGGGAGGCGGCCAGATGGAAGGGTTCCAGGAGACTTGTTTTTAGGTTTTGGCAGTTTGACTGACTAGCCGGGCCAAGTGGGAATTTCTGTTGTTGTTGCCTCTTCGATGTTTGCCAGAAGCCGTGGAGGGGCTGGGCGGCTCCGGCAGCCTCCTTGCCAGTGAGCAGCGGGCACAGGCTCGGTGCCTGGGAAGCAGCGATCAGTCCCAGCTCAACCGCTGTGAGGGCCGTGGGGCCGGCCCGTTCGCTCACCTCCAAACTGAAGCTGAACTGTACCAGCACCCCACACTGGTGGCTGGCAGGGGCCAGTAAGCCCACGCCTGCACCCCCGGCCCCTTTTCTAAGCCAACTCCTCACCTAGACAAGAAAACACCCTAAATCCGTCCTCTACAGGCACGTTTGGTCTCTGTTGCTGCTATCACACCCTTGGAATTCTCTGGAAGCACAGGCCACCTGTTCATGCCACGTGGTGTTGCTGTCACCTGCAGACCTTCTAGTTCAGATTCCCCCCCCCCCCCCTTCTCCCTTCTCTGAACTTGCCCGGCCCAGCTCCAGCCCTGATGGCGCCATCGCTGCTGCTGCTGCTGCTGCGAGGAAGGCTCTCACAGGGAAGCTGACTGGTTTCACCTTCCAGTTTTCTTTTGTTCATGAGCACCGTTTACTGATTTATTTGTCCCCCCCCCCCCCTTTTGGCAACCATCAGCTTGTTCTCTGTCTCTATGGGTATGTTTCTATTTCTTTTTGTTTATTCATTTGTTTTTCTAGATGCCACATATAAGTGAGATCACATGGTATTTGTCTTTCTCTGATTTATTTCACTTAGCATTATGCCCTCCAGGTCCATCCGTGGTGTCACAAATGGCAAGAAGGAAACAGAAACACTAATTCAAAAATATTATACACTCCTAGGCTCATTCCAGCATTACTCTCCCGTTTCCCCAAAAATAAGACAGTGTCTTATATTAATTTTTTCTCCCAAAGTTGCGCTAGGTCTTATTTTCGGAGGATGTCTTATTTCCGGGGACACACGGGTAGTGCTAGCCAAGCTAGGTGAATGGATAAAGAGGATGGTGTGTGTGTGTGTGTGTGTGTGTGTGTGTTGTACACACGGAATCTTATTCGGCAGTTAGAAAAATGAAATCTTGCCGGGCCAGGGTGGTTCAGTGGTTGAGCATCAACTCATGAACCAAGAGATCACCAATTTTATTTTTTTATTTTATTTTTTTAAATATATTTTATTGATTTTTCACAGAGAGGAAGAGAGAGGGATAGAGTTAGAAACATGGATGAGAGAGAATCATCGATCAGCTGCCTCTTGCACACCCCCTATTGGGGATGTGCCCGCAACCAACGTACATGCCTTTGACCGGAATCGAACCCGGGACCTTTCAGTCCACAGGCTGACGCTCTATCCACTGAGCCAAACCGGTCCCGGCGAGATCACCAGTTTTAGAGAAGAGGGAAGGGAGAGAGAGGAACATCAATATCAGGTAAAGCTTTGATTGGTTGCCTTCTGTATGTGCCCTGACCACAGGTTGAGCCCACAACCTTTCATTATATGATGCTCCAACCAACTGAGCCACACCGGCCAGGGCTCCAAGCATGCTTGCTTCATCTCTCCGAACTCTCACTACCCTCTTTGTGCCTGCACGGCAGTTAGGAAATCCTCCTTCTCGCCCTCCTTTTTATTCCCTCTCCTTTTTACTCCCTCGCCTAAAGCCCTTGGGGGGCTTTCTGATGCCCTTAGAATAGGTCCCTGACCCCTTTCCAGAGCCTTGTTTATTTCTCCACCCTCTCCTGCTCCCTCTCCTCCCCCTCCTCCTCCTCTCCCCCTCCTCCTCCCCCTCTTCCCTCTCCTCTTCCTCCTCCTCTTCCTCCTCTTCCTCCTCTTTCTCCTCCTTCTCCTCCTTCTCTTTCTCCTCCTCCCTCCCCCTCCTCACTCCCTCCTCCTCCTCCTCCCTCTCCTCCTCCTCCCTCTCCTCCTCCTCCCTCTCCTCCTCCTCCTCCCTCTCCTCCCTCTCCCCCTCCCCTCCTCCTCCTCCCTCTCCTCCCTCTCCCCCTCCCCTCCTCCTCTTCCCCCTCCTTCCCCTCCTCCCCCTCCCCCTCTCCCCCTCCTCCTCCTCCTCCCTCTCCTCCTCCTCCTCCTCCTCCTCCTCCTCCTCCTCCTCCTCCTCCTCCTCCTCCTCAGTGTGGACACATGCGGGAGACTGCATATCACACGTGGAGCACATGGTATGCAACATGGCTTTAAGGACAGCTTTCCGAGGCAGTAGGCCCTTCCTGCTGGCTTCCGTTTCTGGAGAAAGGGAATGATGGCTAGAATAAAATGCCATTGCGCGAGAGACAGGTTCACCGTGGCGAGAAAATGCCAGAGCGTGCCTTGTAGTGGCAGGGAAAACCAGACCTGGTCTGAGGCCACTGAGGCGCCTCTAACTGTTTTCCTCTCAGCAACAGCCGGAGTAATGAGCAGAGTTTCTCTTTCCTTTTCTTGGAATTCACTATTGATGCTCTAGCTCAGTGGTCGGCCAACTGCGGCTCATGAGCCACATGCGGCTCTTTGGCCCCTTGAGTCTTTATATATATATATATATATATATATATATATATAGTTGATTTTTTACAGAGAGGAAGGGAGAGCGATAGAGTTAGAAACATTGATGAGAAACATCGATCAGCTGCCTCTTGCACACCCGCTACTGGGGATGTGCCCGCAACCAAGGTACATGCCCTTGACCGGAATCAAACCCGGGACCTTTCAGTCTGCAGGCCAACGTACTATCCACTGAGCCACACCGGTCAGGAGGCCCCTTGAGTTTTTAGCAAAGGCCAGCTGAGGAGTACCCTAATTAAGATAATAACAATGTACCTACCTATATAGTTTAAGTTTTAAAAATGTGGCTCTCTAAAGAAACTTTAATCGTTGTACTTTTGATATTTGGCTCTGTGGACTAAGGAGTTTGCCGACCACTGCACTAGCTATTTCTCTGCTAGCCTTCGTAGCATCCATAACAGGCTTCTTTCAGAGGGTGGCATATGGTGGCTGTCAGATCTATTAATGAAAGACGGGGCTGTACTGGCCACCGACCTTCTGATAGGGGCCATTTCTGAATGACATGAGGCTCAGGTGTGGGTCCCCGCATCAGGAACACGGCCCTGACCCCCCCCCCCCCCCCCCCCCCCCCGTGCATCGGCACCTCATGCAGCGCTGTAGGAGGCAGTGCTGTCGCTTGCCTACTGAAATGTGTTTGTTTTCACGGGAACGCTGTATTTTATTTAGAGTCCTTATTGCACGCCGTTTCTCATATGTCATCTTTTCCAGTCCCTTGGCAGGCATGCTCTCCTGAGCTGCTGAGCTCGGTGAAGTTGTTGCCTTCAGATGTAAATTTGGCAATGTTTCAGGAAAGAAATGTGCCCCAGCCTTGCTGTAGCGCCATTTGGGGGCTTGTGCCAGAAAATGCCGTAAAAGGCAAGATCTTGCTGGAACAGACCCTCTGCTGTCATCTAGGGCCGTGGTTGGCAAACCATGCCTCGAGAGCCACATGCGGCTCTTTAGCCCCTTGAGTGTGGCTCTCCCACAAAACACCACGGCCTGGGCGAGTCTATGTTGAAGAAGTGGCGTTAGAAGAAGTTTGTTTTAAAAATGTGGCTCTCCAAAGACATTTCCATCGTTGTGCTGTTGCTATTTGACTCTGCGGGCGCCTCCAACCCCGGAGCTCCATCTGGAACTCCGCAGGTCCTGCTCACTCGCGCCACCAGCAAGGTGACAGCCAGCGTTTCGGGCCTGTTCATTCACATCAACTTCCTTAATCGTCACAACACACTTCGAGGTACATGAGAACGTTACCCCGTTTCCTGATGAGGTCTCTGAGGGCGAGGACCTTGGCCAAGGTCACACAGCTGTCAAGTGCAGAGCTGGGATTTGAACCCAGCCCTGTCCCCCACACTCCAAAGCCCACAGCCTTGCCTTTATACTACTGTACCGAGTTTTCTCAAGTCCCAGTGTCTAACTATTGTTTAAAATTTTAAGTCTCCTTTAACAACTCAGCCACTGACACTTCAGTAAGGACAAGAAAGAGGTGCTTTCTACCCGTGTTTCCTGCTGACATGCTATTCAGAAAGTACAGGAAACCAGCTGTGTGACATGTTAAGTGTCTCTCCGAGCAGAGGGACTGACAGACCAGCCCTTCCATTACTGCCCTGGCCCCGCGGAGCTGCTGCCCTGCTTCCCGGCTGGTGCTTTGGACTCACTAGTCTCTACTTGAAGCTTCAGTGAGAGAAGGGCAGTGAGCTCTTGGGAAGCAGCACGTGGCACGGGCCCCTGGAGCTCACGGGCTTGGCAGAAACTCAGGCGCCCTCGTCTCTCCCTCCCACAGGCCTTCATGCCCCGCGGACTGGCGGACAAAGCAGGACCCGAGGAATGTGACGCAGTGGCTCTTCTGAACCTCATCAACGCCTGCGATCACTTCCTGGTGGATCGGAAGAAAGTCACAGAGGTAAGAGCCCACACAGCAGGAGTCAGTCCCGTCTGCCCTGTGGAGCCAGCTGGGAAACACCCAGTGACGCTGAAGCAGCGCACGGGCGCAGCACACAGCCCCTCCCCAAAACACCGATGTGCAAGAAACCTAGACTTTGCTGCCGAGCCGGCACTGCTCAGCGGGCTGTGGGGCTCACATGCCGTCCCCTGTGATGGCCAAGATCTGCGCAAGCACGGTCAGGAGCCTGGCCTTCTGTTTTTCATTGCCTAGCCCGGCCAGTGTGCTCAGTGGCCGGGCTAGGCAATGAAGCAGGAGGTCACGGTTTGATTCCCGGTCAGGGCACAGGCCCCGGTTGCAGGCTCCATCCCCAGTGTGGGGCTTGCAGGAGGCAGCCAATCCATGATTCTCTCATCATAGATGTTTCTCTCCCACTCTCCCTTCCTCTTTGAAATCAGTAAAAGTCTTTTTAAAAAACTTTTTTTTTAAATTTAATTGACAAGACCAAGCTACATAGAACTGGAGAAAAGAGGAACACTAGTGAATAAAGGCCAGAATAGATCACTGTGTCAGATTCCTTGGAGATTCAGACAGACGTCTCTCTCACCAGAGAACAGCTCTGCGCAGTTACTACTCTGAGGGCAGTGAGAGGGTGCCTGTGAATGCAGTGTTTATAACAGAGAGAAGATGCATGGACATTCTGCTAGGTCGCCAGCGGCTAGAAGGACTGAGAAGCCTGTGTGACATCAGCAGAGACAAAAACGATCGCAGTGCGGGATTGACCCCTGTGCTCTCTCCTCACAAAGATTGGAAGGCTTGCCGTGCATTAATAAACACCATCTGTCTTAAAACACACGCTCAAGTTGCTCTTTCATCATGGTTTCTGCAACAAACAGCTCCCTGGCCCCGCTTCCCGGAGCTCCGGCGATAGTTAAGGGTTTCTGAGTTTTCTGCTGCAGCCTCGGGCGCACAGAGCCGCCAGCCAATCCTCTTGCTCTCTGGCGGGCTGTTCCCAGGTAAGGGGTGTGGGGGTTGTAAGGGACAGCCCAGCCAGGCACAAGATGGCAAGGACCAAAGATAGGTGTAAGCTTTGCATTTCTTTCCCTGATGAATTGATTATTCAAGTGGCAGGGGATTGAACATAGCAAAAAGCCTTTCTGCAACTTTTCTTTTAAAAATAAAAATGGTTTGTTCTTTTTATGGATTTCAGGAAGAGGGAGAGGGAGAGAGAGAACCGTGGATCGGCTGCCTCCTGCATGCCACACACTAGGGATCGAACCCACAACCTGGGCATGTGCCCTGACTAGAAATAGAACCACGATCACCTGGTTCAACCCCTGAGCAAGCCGGCTGGACTGCAACTTTTTTTGGAACTACAAAAATGTCAGTTTACCCCACTGTTTGACTTTGAAGGCTTTTACCGTTTTTCGTCTTTCTGTAGGTGATTAAGTGTCGTAACGATATCATGCACTCTTCAGAGATGAAGGTATCTTCTGTGTGGCTTCGGGATTTCCAGAGGAAGATCCAGAATTTTCTGAATGAATTCCATAATATCCCAGAGATTGTGGAGGCGTACTCCAGAATAGAAGAGGTGAAAATTAGGTTGAACACTTCCGGCATTAAGAACTAAGGGGAGCTCTAGCCGGTTTGGCTCAGTGGATGGAGCATTGGCCTGTGGACTGAAGGGTCCCGGGTTCAATTCCAGTCAAGGGTACATGCCTGGGTTGTGGGCTCCATCCCCAGTGTGGGGTGTACAGGAGGCAGCTGATTCATGATTCTCTCTCATCATTGATGTTTCTCTCTCTCTCTCTCTGAAATCAATAATATATATATATATATATTTTAAAAAGAACGGGGGGAAAGTAGCACAGTCACTCATTTAGAATTGGAAGTTTATTAGGTTTAAATGGAATTTTAGCATGTAAACGGTAAAACATGTTGATATGAAATTTAGAACTGTACTGGGTTAGGAAGCTTTTCTGTGGTCACAGGATGCTATTAAAATGGGTCCAGTCAGTGACCATTCATTGTGAATGAATTCTCGGAGTCATCCGGTGGAACATCTTTTTCATTCATTCAGTTCCTCTCTCTGTCCGGTGTTCCAACAGCTGCTGACGTCGGACTGGGCCGTCCTCATCCCCGAGGAAGATCACCGAGATGGCTGTGACCGTGACTCCGGCGTTTACCTGAGCGAGAGCCAAGTCCATGAAATCGAAATGGAATTTCTCAAGGAAAAGCTTCACGAGCTTTATCTTCAAGCAGAAGAACAAGAGGAGTTGCCAGAAGAGGTAAAAAAATGAAAGTACTATCTCCTCTGCCTGAGTAAACAAACAGACGCCAGGGAGGAAGAGGAGCTAATTTTAGCCCATTACCAACCATGTTTCTGATTTATAAGACAAATCCCTTCCAGAAACGAGTACCCCTTTGGCGAGGATGAATTGTATCTCTAAACCGTTCTTTTCCCTTGGCCAGCACACATTTCAGTGCCTGATGCATGCCACGGAGTGGAGCCACACGCTGAGGCTGCCACAGAGCTCCGGACAGCGGTGCCGGAGTCTCTGCATGGGGCTGGGGGTGGGGAAAAGGCTTCGCTGAGAAGGTGCTGTGGAGCTGGGACTAACAGAATCAGCTCCGTTTGACAAATTGGCATTTTGGGCAGAAGGAACATCACCTGTCAAGGCATGAAAACAGCTTGGGCCCAGCCTGTGTGGCTCAGTTGTTATGTCGACATATGAACAAGGAGGTCACAATTCAATTGCCAGTCAGGGCATGTGCCCACGTTGTGGGCTTGATCCCCAGTAGGGGCACGCAGGTGGCAGCCGATCCATCATTCTCCCTCTCTCTCTCTCTCTCTCTCTTCCTCTCCCTCTTTCCCCCTTCCTCTTTCTGAAATCAATATTTCTCAAAAAGCCAGAATAGGTTGGGCCTGGACAGTGACGGTGAGCCTGGGAGGAGGCGTGATGAGATGTGAGCAGGTCGGGTAGGTTGAAGCCATCTTTGGGAAGGTTTTCTGTGCTTCACCCAGGGGCTGGACCTTATTCCCAGAAAGTGGTAGAGAGCGACAGTCTTTGGTTTTTTAATCCTCAGCTGAGGATGCGTTTATTGGTTTAGGGAGAGAGTGAGTGGTGCTCCCTGGCACACCAGGGTCATGTTAAATGATGAATAAGACTGAGTTCTGCTTTCCAAGTCCCTGGGCGTCGTCTTGCTTTGGTTTAAAATGCGGGGAGCCAGCCGCACTTCTCTTCCCGCTGCTGCTTCCAGAAGCAGGTTGTGTAAGAGGAGGCAGCCGGGGGCTCCGGATCTCAGCCGCAGCGGTGTCTGGGGTGCCCTCTTCCCTCTTGAGGGAGCTGCGGTTCTTTCCTGTGTGTGTAACAAAGAGCAAAGCACACCGGCAGCAGCACACTCCCGCCAGCAGTCTGAGCTGCGAGCTGCGAGGGAGCCTGGCCATCACTGATAGCGGCCCGTGCGGGACCCGCGAGGCGGCAGCCCTGGAGCAGGCAGCCCTGGAGCAGGCAGCCCTGGAGCACGCAGCCCTGGAGCACGCAGCCCTGGAGCACGCAGCCCTGGAGCACGCAGCCCTGGAGCACGCAGCCCTGGAGCAGGCTCTGGCGGGGGTGAGGCTGCCGCCGCGCCTGGGGCTGGCCGTGGGTGCCCGCGCTCCGGGCTGTGCCTCATGCCTCACTGCCTCTGTGTCACCGAGGAGCTGGCGACCGTACATTTCAAACCCTCATTATCTCTGTTTTCCAGGAACAAATTGGGGTTAATGGGCTTGTTCTCCGGGTCCCAAGCCTTCAGATAGGTTGATAAGTTCTCATTTCGCATGCTTTTGTTCAGTGGACCATGGCATTGCTCTTGCTGTTTCCACTGATCAGAATGTAAATGCGGATGGATTGGCATGTTATCTCTAAGAAGTTGAAGGTTGGCTTTCCATGATGTGAGGAACTTGACCTTGTTGAGGAAGTTCAGTGCCGATATGGTTATCCATGCTCGCCAGGGTCAGGCCCCAAAGGCAGATGATTCGATAGACCACCTTTCAGTGGCTCTAAGATGCCACCGTTTGTAAGACACAGCATTGATTCCACTGCTTCTGAGACAGAGAAAAAAATGCTGCCCATTTGTTGCAAGACATTTCAGTGGTAAGATGCACTGTCATTTGAGATGTTAAAATAGGAAGAAACAGCACGTGCATCCAGGAATGCGGAAATCCGGTGATTATATTATGAGCACAGGACTTCTCCTGTGAGTGTTTAATAAGACCTGCTTCTGGTGTTCGGTAAAGCAGTGGGAGTCGGGGTGGAAAGCCGGTCGAGGAAGAATGGCTCATGGTGGTAATTTAGTGTGACGGTTCCCAGAATGCCTCATGGAGCTCATGGCAGAGAGAGCTCATCATGTCAATTCTTTTCTGCTCGATGATGAGCCGTAATGATACACACTGAGTGGCCAGATTATGATGATCTCTGAACACATAATAATCTGGTGTGCGCGCGCGCGCGCGCGCGTGTGTGTGTGTGTGTGTGTGTGTGTGTGTGTGTGTGTATTAGAGGCCCGGTGCATGAATTCGTGCATGGGTGGGGTCCAGCCAGCCTGGCCAGAGGGAGGGGACATGGGCGGTTGGCCAGCCTGCCTGCAGGTGGAACTCCTGGTCGGGGAACAATTTGCATAGTAGCCTTTTGTTCTATAGGACACACCCAGAGTGGCCAGATGATTATGCGTTCAGAGATCATCCTCATCTGGAAGGGGCTCCCCTGGAATAACTGTGCGTGTGTAACTTGCGCTCTGCTTCAGATCCGCGGGGAGCAGCAGCCGGCCAGCTCCCCGGGGACATGTGTGGCGTGTGGCTGCCAAGGGCCATCTGCCACAGAGCTCGGCTGCCACCCAAGCGCCCTTCGCACGGCCCTGCCGGCCACCATGCTCTGCTTGGCCCTGGCAGTTGAAAACTCAGCAGAGTAAGCGGCTGAAAAGCAGGGGAAGAGCTGGCGCCTTCTTGCAATGCATTCCTGCTCTCAGAAGCCCGGTGAGCCTGCGCCTCAGAGCGTGTGTGGCGCCCAGACCCGCCAGCGTGGCCCGGGCTCTGCGGGGAGGCCCTGGGGGTGCTTCCTGAGTGCTCCCGGTGCGGTGCCCGCGGCGTGCTGTGTGCCGGGGATGCTGAGCTGGGTGATCTGCATTCTCCGTGTTTATGGGTTCCAGATTTCTCCTGTAAAGCCCAGGTGTCCTCCAGGAGCCGTGGGCTTGTTTCCAGCCGCGCCATAAACAGCTCCGCTGAACGGCGGCCACGTGCTTCCTCACCGCCGCCGCCCCTCCTGCTCCCCGTTCCCCGGAGCGACAGCCACGGCCCACTTCCCGTCCCCTGTCCCTGGCAGACATCACCCCGCACCGCTGGCTCTTTCCTGCTCACATCACAGTCCTCTGTGTGCTTGCTGAGTGCCCCCTAGACCTGCATCAGAATGTGCACCCTGAACTTTAAGGGCCACCTTCCTGCTAGGGGTAGGGCACTCCACCACTTTCCTTCATTAGATTTAGATCCCCCTGGCTAGCTTTTAAATGAGGCCGGAGTTTCCCGTTTAAAAACTTCATCAGCCCTAGCTGGTGTGGCTCAGTGGATAGAGCATTGTCCTGCTGGCCAAAAGGTCCCAGGTTTGATTCCGATCAAGAGCACCTCAGTTGCAGGCTCCTCCCCAGCCTGGGCCCCGATCAGGGCTCATGCAGGAGGCAACCAATCGGTGTGTGTCTCTCACATCAATGTTTCTCTCTGTCTCTCCCTCTCTCTCCCACGCTCCCTAAAAATCAATGGGAAATATCCTCTGGTGAGGATTAACAACAACAAAACATCATGCCCCAAGATGCAAGTCACTCACCTTTGTCATAAGCACAGGGACCAGCAGGGGCGGCCGGAATAAGCCCTTGGTGCGCTTCCAGGCTGCGTTCTGTGAGTGCTGTGTTAGGTTAAGTTCTGGAAGTCAGTGTTGCTGGTGGGAGTTTAAATTGCTACCTCACCCTAACGAGTGTGGCTCAGTGGACAGAGCATTGGCCTGCAGACTCAAGGGTTCCAGGTTCGATTCCGGTCAAGAGCATGTACCTTGGTTGCGGGCACATCCCCATTGGGGAGCGTGTAGGAGGCAGCTGATCGATGCTTCTAGCTCTCTGTCCCTCTCCCTTCCTCTCTGTAAAAAATCAATAAAATATATATATTAAATTGGTACAACCTCAGTAGATGGAAGATTTGGCCCAATCTAGCCACGGTTTCTGTCTCTTGGTGGACACGTGAGCAGGAGCCTGGAGCTGGGAGTTTTCCCTTGCATCCCGGGCTCATCAGTCTCTGACTGCACTGGTGTGGTTTCTCTGCAGATCCTGACGCGGCTGGAGGCGGTGAGAGAGTTTCTGAGCAGCAATGAGGATCTCAGGAACGGCCTTTCAGAGGACCTGCAGAAGCTGGACGGCCTGTGTCTGCAGCATCCAACACTGCATTCAGAGGAGCCTGCGAGGCAGGCAGCCGCAGGGGAGGCCTGAGGTGAGCGTAGGACCTGCTGGTTAGTAAGAGTAGAACAGCCTCGCCCCTTGATGCCGGTCTCTGTCGGGTCACAGTGGACGGACACACAGTGTCACCCAAGGCTTCCCTGTCCCGCCTGAGAGAAGGGCCCCGGCCTTGTTGCAGCCGCAGGTGCCGGAAGCTGCTGGGTTGGCTTAGTGAGTCAGCGTCAGACCGTAACCAGAAGGCAGGGCAGCCCTCATGGTGCCCACGGTGCCCAACTCTCAGCTGTGCTCACAGCAACCTGTTACTCCATAGGATGAATAACTTCTTCCCCCTCAGATAAAATTAATGTCTCCTTTGATTTCACTTGCCCTTGGGCCAAGCCAGACCTGTCCTCTGAAAGTCAGCACGACTCCTCCCTCAGCGTCCTCCTCTGTGCAAAAGGGAGACCCCCCCGGAGCACTCTGCCCCCAAAGGATGCCGTCTGTCCCTGAGCGCCCCTTCCGCCTTTGGGAGGATTGCTCTGGCCCAGTGGTCGGCAAACTCAGCAGTCCACAGAGCCAAACAGCAACAGTATGATGATTGGAATGTCTCTGGAGAACCACATTTTTTAAACTTCTTCTAACGCCACTTCTTCAGCATAGACTCGCCCAGGCCGTGGTGTTTTGTGGCAGAGCCGCACTCAAGGGGCCACCGAGCCGCATGTGGCTCCCAAGCCACAGTTTGTCGACCTCGACTCTATACTCATAAGCAGAGTGTTGTGCGAGCTCTACTGCCCAAAAGATGTTAGATACGGCGCTTTTAAGCCAAAACTGCCATCCGGGGTTTTTGGAGTTTGCTTTTGTTTTGTTTTGTTACATTTCAAAGGTGCCGTTCTTTTCTGGTCCTAAACTGGCTGCTGAGCACAGGCAAGCTGGGCCCCTGCGGACCCTCCCTACCACGCCCCCTCCCGCCTGAAGTGTGGCTGTGCTCTCTTAATTTATGAGGAGGCCCAAGGCGCGAGCTGGGTGTCAGAGCCGAGACAGAAATCCTTCCTTTCTGGGAGAAGGCAAGAAAAAAAATGGCCCCAAAGGCCATTTCCTAGGCATTTCCACTTAGTCATGGAACTGGTGGCCTGAGGCAGTAGGACAAGAGGGTGCGTCCATGCTGGTCAGGGAGGGGCTAGAGAACAGTGACTGACTGACTGACCAAGGCGGGGGGGCGCAGCTCAGCGTCACAAGCGCATGTTGGGAAAAGGTGCCCAGGTGCTGGCACTTAGGGAAGGAATGCCTTGGCAGCCACCGCTTCCGCTCACTTAGCTCCCAGGCTGAGCACCGGCCTGGCCTCCTGCGCTCAGCCGATGTTCGGCTGAATAGGAGGGTCACATATAGATGTACATGTCGGTTACGCTGTCATCTAAGCCTCTCTCCTCCCTCTTTAGGAGATTTAAGAATTACTACATTCTTAGGAAAATTCATTTTCTTTTCAACAGGTTCACAAACTCATACTTCCTCCATTCCTACCCAAGACTCCACTCTGAATGTGTCCTGTGTGTTCCTGAGCTGTGACACGCTGTCCAGTTCCAGCTGTGGTGCTTAGCTGGCCATGTTGCCTCTGAACCTTCAGGGACAGAATTGCCACGGTCCCCGCTGCCCAGGGCCTGGCCGCCTGGAGGAGTGGCCCAAGTGAAGCTGAGCTCTTGCTTCCTCAGCTGCCCATCAAGGATGTGATCTGGCCCGGCCAGTGTGGGTCAGTGAATAGAGCATCGGCCTGCAGACCAACGGGTCCCAGATTCGATTCTGGTCAAGGGCAGGTACCTTGATTGCAGGCTCCTCCCTGGCCCAGGCCCAGGCCCTGGTCAGGACTTGAGCAGGAGGCAACCAATCGATGTGTTTCTCTCACCTCGACATTGTTCTCTCCCCCTTTCTCTTCTACCCCCCCTAAAAAAAAAAAAAATCAATGGAAAAATAACCTCGGGTGAGGATTAACAAACAAAACAAAATTGTTTTAAAAGAAAAAAATTTAAAAATGGTTATGATCTGTAGAGAAGCGGCAAGGATAGGGCGGTGTTCAATGTAAGTATTTTTACATTAAAAGGCACTAATGTAATTTTATAAAACTAAGATATATGCAGACGTGCCTGTAACTTCCTGCTTGGATCTTTCTTGTTACTCTGAATATATTTTTTTTTGGGGGGGGGGGGTGTTGGTTTGTTTGTTTGTTTGTTTGTTTGGTGCTGAAACCTGGGTACAAACCATGCTCTTTGGTCTTTAATCTTATATTTTCTCTCTCCCTTCATTTTATGGAATTCCTTGAGATGACTTCAGTAGTAAAGAAACAAAAATTTTCATCCATCTTAAACTCCCCCCAAACAAAGAAACCCTGCAGTGTTTTCTAGCTTCGAGACATAAGATACAAAACTTGGCATCAAATTAAGTCTTGATTCACTAACAAATTTTTGACCTCATTTCCAACTTTAGGGACTTTGGGGCTATGGACACCTTATTTTCATATCTCTCACGTGCAGTTAGCTTTTCCTTATCTACTCAAACATTTATCAATGTCAGCCACGTGCCAGGCATGAACAAATGCAGATGTAAGGGTTTTAAAGGCACAGCCGATGGCCTCTGAGCTTTCACCTCCTAGATTTAATGTTCGCTCTGGTAAACTACGATACTGCTCAGAGAACTATCCTGGCAGCATTGGATCACACTGAAATGGAAACAAAGGAAGACATTCCCAGAGAAGGCTTACAGCAAAGTGACGGACACAGGGACATGACCTGTGGGCCTCCTACAAGCCTGTGCGTGTGGGAACAGTGCGCACCGAAGGGTGGTCCCAGAATTGGCAGCCAGGCACGGGGGGGGGGGGGGGGGGCAGTTAAGTGACGGCACAGCCGTGCTGCGGTGTATCATGCAATTGGGAAAAGAGGGTGAGCAAGTGCTGCCATGCAGTCCTATGGAGTGCTCTCTGAGACATTAGAAAAGCAGACTGTTAGCAATGTGTAGCATGCTATAAAACTGTTTTAAAATAACAGGTCTGGAAAGGGGTGTTTTCCCCAAGCCTTTTGGCTGTTGCCTCTGAAAGGAATTGGGGTTGAGGGGTGGTTCGAAGAAACTGGGCCTTTCTATTCTGTATACTCCCATGTGAAACTTTTTTTTACAACAAACATACACTTGTGTCCTTTGTCATTGTTTTTAAAATTTTATATTTCATAATAAAGAGACATGAACAATATGAATCCAAACAGAGTCACGTGTCACATTTCCTGCAATCTGTCGCAGTCTCTTTTTTGTGAGGGTCAACTCCACCTTAGCTGTCAAGGTCAGAAGCAGCCCTGGAAGTGGCTGCTCCCCCCTCGCCCAAAGCTTTGTTTGATCTCGCAATGCCTTGTTTTCATCCAACAATATTGTGCTCTCAGCCTCTCCCTGGGACACGATACAGTGGTTCATGGTTGTGAAAGAATTAGAGGAGCCCAGCCGGTGTGGCTCAATGGTTGGGCATCGGCCTATGAACCAGGAGGTTATGGTTCCATTCCCGGTCAGGGCACATGCCATGGTTGGGGGCTCTATCCCCAGTATGGGGTGTGCAAGAGGTAGCCGATCCATGATTCTCTCATCATGGATGCTTCTCTCTCCCCCTCTCTGAAATCAATAATATATATATACATATATATATATAAAGAATTAGAGGAGAGAAAAGTTTTAGTATTATATACTAAGTGGCCAGATGATTATGATCTCTGAATGCATAATAATCTGGCCACTCAGTATATATTCTATATAATAAAAGGCTAATTTTCCCCTCAACCAGGAGTTTGACCAGTTGGCAGGCCGGCCAACCGCCCTTGTCCCCTCCCCCTGGCCAACCTGGCCGGACCCCACCCATGCACCAGGCCTTTAATACACACACACATATACACACATACACACACTAAGTGGCTGGATTATTATGTGTTCAGAGATTATAATAATCTGGCCACTCATTGTAGTTGGAGAGAGATGGCAGTTCTTTGGATTTTAGCCTGCGCTTTGCCAGGAAGCTCAGAGGACCTCAGGAAGAACTCGGGACTTCTTCAACTCAGTGTAAAACACAAAATCTGGGCAATAACAAGCATGTGTCAGTAACAGAAACTTCGGGAAAAATAACTGCCAATTCGGAAAGCGTTATTAACCTCATAAAGTCCTGGTAGGCATCTGCAGACAGTTTCAGTTAAATTGCCAAGGCCAGGAAGGATTATGTTTGAGAGTTTGGGGACATTATGAAATTATTTTACCCCAATGATTTTAAAGGTTTGTTTTTATTAAAGTATTAATCATTTGTATGACTTTCAGCATGAATATCCCAGGCGACAGAGGGCTAGATCTCGTAGCTGGGTGCGCATACTGCGAATTGGATGCTGTGAGTGGAGTAGAGGCGTCATCTTCCGGGTGTTTTTCTAATGGCTCTGCCCACTGGGTCATAAACGCAGAGTGAGGAAGTTCTCAGCAGGCAGCATCCCCCTTTCTCTTACCAGGTTAATTAGAAACCTACCTGCTCTGAACTGTGTTCAATAGACAGTGGCCTTTTATTGAAATCTAATACTCAACTTACAAAATACATTCTGTAAGACAAATCTAAAAATATTAATTTCTCCTCATAGTGTAGCGAAGGGGAAAATCCTTCCACGTTTTAATAAAAATCTTGATACAAGGTTATGATTCATTTCAGAAGTGTAAGAACAGCTTTTTATTACTGCATGGGAGTTTTGGCCCCCCGTGATGGCCACCTCCTGGTATTCCCACCCCTGTATTGTCCTCTCACGGGGTACCACGTGGCCATGGTACTTCACCCGGCAGGTTAAGTACGTGGGCGCAGCCCTGTGGCCCTCCGGGCACAGAACTGAAGCCTCCTGCAAACTGACTTTGGAAGTGGGGCTCTAGCCACCGGCAAGTCTCCAGACACCGCAGTCCCAGTGGATAGCTAAGAGACTCTGAGCCAGTGCAAGCCCAGCTAAGCCACTCCCATTCCTGACCCTCAGAAACTGTGAATAATATTTAATTTTTAAAAAAATGTTTAT